ACGCCACTCCAAACAAAACCAATAGTTGATCTTGTGATCAGCATGTGCAGAATATAGGCTCGCTCAACCCATTAATATTCATGAAAGAATAACGTTAAATATATGTGACGTCACCAAAACAAGCATAAAAACAGGGGTTAAGAGGGGGTATAAATAGATTTCCTTATTTTTTCACTCTGTATCCAATATAATATGTAGAGGCAAAACGAAAGGTAATTCTTTCTATTGTAAAATAATGTCTATTTATGCTTTTTATCCGACAATTGCACTCGTTCAATAGTATTTAAAACGAATTCAGCAGTCACATTTACATTTCAATGTGACAGACTTTCTATTACTCTACAAACGCTCAGTGTGATAGCCCCTCTCAACTCATCTCCTGTAAACCGGGAATCTCATCTCATCTCCTGTAAACCGAAAATTTCATCTCATTTCCTGTAAATCGAGAATCTCAACTCATTTCCTGTAAACCGGGAATCTCAACTCATCTCCTGTAAACTGGGAATCTCATTTTATCACCTGTAAACCGGGAATCTCAACTCATTTCCCGTAAACATGGAATCTCATCTCATCTCCTGTAAACCGGGAATCTCATCTCATCTCCTGTAAACTGGGAATCTCATCTCATCTCCTGTAAACCGGGAATCTCAACTCATTTCCCGTAAACCGGGAATCTCAACTCATTTCTTGTTAACCGAGAATCTCAACTCATTTCCTGTAAACCGAGAATGTCATCTCATCTCCTGTAAACCGAGAATGTCATCTCATTTCCTGTTAATCGAGAATCTCAACTCATTTCCTGTAAACCGAGAATCTCAACTCATCTCTTGTAAACTGGGAATCTCATCTCATCTCCTGTAAACCGGGAATCTCAACTCATCTCCTGTAAACCGGGAATCTCATCTCATCGCCTGTAAACCGGGAATCTCAACTCATTTCCCGTAAACCGGGAATCTCATCTCATCTCCTGTAAACCGGGAATCTCATCTCCTATAAACTGGGAATCTCATCTCATTTCCTGTAAACTGAGAATCGCATCTCATTTCCTGTTAATCGAGAATCTCAACTCATTTCCTGTAAACCGAGAATGTCATCTCATCTCCTGTAAACCGAGAATGTCATCTCATTTCCTGTAAACCGGGAATCTCATCTCATCTCCTGTAAACTGGGAATGTCATCCATCTCCTGTAAACCGGGAATCTCATCTCCTGTAAACCGGGAATCTCATCTCCTGTAAACCGGGAATCTCATCTCCTGTAAACCGGGAATCTCATCTCCTGTTAACCGGGAATCTCATCTCCTGTTAACCGGGAATCTCATCTCATCTCCTGTAAACCGGGAATCTCATCTCCTGTTAACCGGGAATCTCATCTCCTGTTAACCGGGAATCTCATCTCATCTCCTGTAAACCGGGAATCTCATCTCATCTCCTGTAAACCGGGAATCTCATCTCCTGTAAACCGGGAATCTCAACTCATTTCCCGTAAACCGGGAATCTCATCTCATCTCCTGTAAACCGGGAATCTCAACTCATCTCTTGTTAACCGGGAATCTCATCTCATCTCCTGTAAACCGGGAATCTCATCTCATCTCCTGTAAACCGGGAATCTCAACTCATTTCCTGTAAACCGGGAATCTCATCTCATCTCCTGTTAACCGAGAATCTCATCTCATTTCCCGTAAACCGGGAATCTCATCTCATCTCCTGTAAACCGGGAATCTCAACTCATTTCCTGTAAACCGGGAATCTCATCTCATCTCCTGTTAACCGAGAATCTCATCTCATTTCCTGTAAACCGAGAATCGCATCTCATTTCCTGTTAATCGAGAATCTCATCTCATCTCCTGCAAATTGAGAATCTCATGTCATTTCCTGTAAACCGAATCTTGGTATTGGAGAGAAATATTTAGATATTGGCCTCTTGTGCCTGGTACATCATAGGATATGGGGGTACAAGGATATGAAAATGTGAGGGTTTAGGGACTGGCAGCCATCTTGAATGCTGCATTGTGGGTAAACATTTTCTGTTAGATCTTAGTCATAAAGCAAATGAGATGAAAATTACAGGTTAATCGTGTAATAACACCCCATGCTTCGCCTTGTATGAAGAATATTCACACAGAACAATGGATCTGGAGAAAATACTTGAATGACAAGTAAATATATATTGATTTATAATTCAGAACTGGAGACATCAGATATCACCTTCACAGAGGATTACGGAAAATAATGTACATGTAAAATGCAAGGATATACAGCTGTTTCATGCCTCATCAGTCGACAGTCAATTTCTTTTTTCTTCGAGGTGTTGGGATCAACCTGAAATCTGCTATCTTCCTTTCCCACACATACGTTAGATCAGACAAAATCACTAAGGACAGAAAAGGTTTTTTTTAAAACGCTGGATTTATACACTAAATTTTCACTCTGACCTATTCACTATCCATCGCTATATTACTGAAGAACTGATATGTTAAAATCATGCTTATTTTGTATAATACAAATAATGAAAATGACTGCAACCATTATACAAGAAACGTTATATATCCTATCCTGTTTTGTTGGCCAAATTCTACAGAGAAATGTGACTTTAAACATACACAGATAATTAAACCAGCCACAAAGTGACGAAGTGTTTGAAACATTTAAAATATCACTATAACCAAAATAACTTCCTTTGTTCTGTAGTTTACGATTGTATAGAAGAAGTGATGTAGTTTGAGTTTCATTCACATTTGTTTGAGATACGTGGAACCTACTTCCCTCCTAGGGTCACTAAGCTCGCCAACCTCACCATCCCCACTACAACCTTATTTTAATCTTTAAAACGTCAAACGCGTAAAATATAAATACTACTATATACTGCAACTATTTTTCAACTTTTTTGACAAGTCTTCCTGATGAGTTCTGGATAAATAAGAATGGTTCATTGGAAGTGTTGGTATTTGTGATTGAGAATATAATTAAATGTTCCCCGTCACCCCTCCTTAGTCGTTCGTTTGAGCTGAGTGACGTCTTGCTTTTCAGAAAGTGAAGTTTGTCTTCAGATTATTATTTTTTGTGTTTGTCTTCACGGATTTATACCTAATGCATACACACACCCGCACACACACACACACACACACACACCCTATTACACTCACACACACACACACACACACGCGCGCGCGCGAGATTTTACCATCATCAACGTTGAATACGGTGTCTTAAGTATGATATATATGAGATTTTACCGTCAGTGTTTTTGAATACGGTGTCTTAAGTATGATATATGCGAGATTTTACCGTTAGTGTTTTTTTATACGGTGTCTTAAGTATGATATATGCGAGATTTTACCGTCAATGTTTTTGAATACGGTGTCTTAAGTATGATATATGCGAGATTTCACCGTCAGTGTTTTTAATACGGTGTCTTAAGTATGATATATACTAGATAAACAAAAAAAAAACATTATCAAAGTAACAATTATATTATGGTGTCCTGGTTTGTGAACCATTCGCCGAGGACTCCCCCATGATCACGTGGAAAAGTTTGTACACTACTTAAATCAATTTTATTTTTTCTCAGAGCTCTTTCAACAGAACGAATTACTTAGATGGCTGGTCTCGTTTATTGGTAGTCTGTTGCTCTGGCCTTGTCTAGTCGAGCTCTGTCCCCATCACAAACTCTCTCCTATGTTGAATGTCTCGACTCTAGAAACCTTGTAATGGCAATGCTCGATTGATTGAGCTTAATATCAGGGACGACTTCAGATAATAATGTTGTCTAATTCTCGAGATATTTACCGGGGGTGCGACTGCATTTACAAAGGCCGTCTGAGAGATAGTCAGGTTTATCTTGAGTACACACTTATAAGGGATATCAGAGAGCAGGGTTTTCCGTTACAAAGACTATTGCAGAATAACGGTTAGAATTTATTGTTCACATCCAGTCCACTTGATATTACGTACTGATAGAATTAATTTTCCAATCGGTCAGCTAAAGATTACTCGAATGATGTATCTAGGATACATCAAATGAAGCTATATTTTGTAACACTCTTTATGGAATGACTTCCAGTTATTATGATATGTATGCGAGCATATTTGGGGAGAGAGTTGTTTTCATAACCGTTAATGTGAGTGAAACTGCAACTGAACCGATTCGGTAAAGGTCACAAAAATAGGAGAGTTCCTCTTTACTGTTGGTTACAGACACATCATAAGAACTTGAACCTTTTGCGGTCAAACATGTCAGCAGTATGTTGAATGTTGACTCATTTTTACAATCTTTGTATGTTTAAAGTCACATTTCTCTGTCCAACGATCAGTTGACTCAAGAGAAAAATATTTCATAGATCATTTATTTTTAATATCAGACAAATACACTCTATTGTGAAAGGAATTAATATAAGCGATCACTTTGTTTTCCATCCAATACATGTTATATGTATGTGTTATCTAATTGATGTTTAAAGAATATTCTGTTAAAACTAAAATTGAGCTCCAATATCTCATGGCAGCGGGCGGGGGTGGGGGGGGGTTGGTTTAGGGGAGTGAAGGCCTCTATGATTAAAATAGAACCATGTTTACACGTGGTCGTGCAAGCGTTCTCGGTGAAAGGTTCACAAACCAGGACTGTTATGAAACAACAGAGCAGCACTGTACAGAGAGCGTACGTCTTATAGCACGGGAAACGTGTCGAAAATGGCACCTTTAATTTTAATTACAATCAATACTACATATAAATACAATATATAGATTGATAATAAAAGAAGTTTATCTAGCATAAGTCATAATCAAGTTACTTCAGAATTTTATCAGCACCCTTCCATCCGATGTATACACACATACATCACTGATGGTAAATCTCACAGCAGCATTAGTGCGAGTTATTACTACGTTGCGCTTCAGTACTGACTGTGTGTTCATTACTTGGGATTACATAAAGTAAATCATGCACAGCATAAATGTTGAATGATCCTTCAGTTTTTCCACGATACTGTTGTTAGTCATCATACCAACACAGCGATATATCTAGAAGTGTTTACATGCTGTTTACATGTAACTGAAACCAGCCTGAGACATTCATTAAACCTCCCGGATCCTCAACCATCAATTTCGACCACACTGACTCAGTGGTTACAAGTCCAGAGCAGGCCCGGACCTTGACGTGGTAAGTGTGAAACCATTTTCTTCTCCAAGTACAACCTTTCTCGTGCACAACAGTAAACGTATAGATTTATATTACTAACTAGAACTGAATATGGTTTTATGTAGGAATGTAATATGTTAATTATATGTTAATGAACTGTGTTAACCTCAGTCATCACTTAGCGTTGAGAGATGCAGTTATACAAGTGTGACATCCACCGATAATACACGCCAATTCGTCTTCGTCTACTTTTACTGCGACGTTTTTTGTGTACGACAAAAGTTTTATTTATCTCATTCTGTGTAATATGATTTATATCCGCTCTAAATTGACAATTTTTTGTGTGTTGCAATTTCCCTACTCACTTCAGGCGAAAATGATGAAATGTTGTCTCCTTAAAAAGTTCCTTATAATTGTGAGATTGAGGAAATGCGCCTACAATTCCCTTATTAAAGAAGATCAATTAAAAAGAGATATGTACAGGTCGGAAGACCGAGAAAAAAATCTGCTTGCAAGCTAACTAGACTTTGACTATAGCTTATTTTAGCTAATCGAGCCTTAAGTTATCAATCTTACTCGCAAAAAATAAGTATGTTCCCTGTAATATTAATGTACAAACCTGTACAATTAATTAACTAATTAATGTTACAGAAATTACCTATTCCAAAAGATGAACTCCTCTTTCCTGGTTGAACTCCCTTTGTAGAAAAAATAACTGTGTATTGAAATAGACAACGTCCAACGTGCGTTGTATACATGACACTACAGACAGGCATACCTTCACCTGTACCACGACTTCTGTTAGCGCTAGTTAGTAACAGTAGTGACAATGACGGATCACAGCATATTGCTTTCATCTACTGTTAAGTTTTGTACATTTCTATTACTAACAGATTGTCGGAGCTCGAATTCGAATAAATAGATAAAATAGGTTAACATGACAGAAAGAAACTTGGACTGTTACAATTTCCATGAAGATTTCTTTAGCCCTCTTTATCCTTTGTAGTCTATGAAATGTTGTGTTAAAATAGACAGTATCTAGGAGTATGGTTTCTAGGATTTTGTGTCCCTAAGTATGTTTAGAAATTCTATAACATATTTACATGTACTTAAATGTTATATAATTTGTGTCATGTGGCGATACATAGAACGGTGGAAATAGACATTCTCTAACAATTGTAATAGTCTGGACGTATTAACTGTCATCATGCCAATTCATTTCATTATAGTAATTACATTAAAACATTTTTGTGTTGATCATCATGTACAATGTACATTTTTGTAATTATTCTAGGTATATCATAAAGCTAGATATTGATGTAAATGTAACCTAGGTATATCATATAGCTAGATATTGATGTAAATGTAACCTAGGTATATCATATAGCTAAATATTGATGTAAATGTAACCTAGGTATATCATATAGGTAAATATTGATGTAAATGTAACCTTGGTGTATCATATAGCTAAATATTGATGTAAATGTAACCTAGGTGTATCATATAGCTAAATATTGATGTAAATGTAACCTAGGTATATCATATAGCTAAATATTGATGTAAATGTAACCTAGGTATATCATATAGCTAAATATTGATGTAAATGTAACCTAGGTATATCTTATAGCTAAATATTGATGTAAATGTAACCTAGGTTTATCATATAGCTAAATATTGATGTAAATGTAACCTAGGTATATCATATAACTAAATATTGATGAAAATGTAACCTAGGTATATCATATAGCTAAATATTGATGTAAATGTAACCTAGGTATATCATATAGCTAAATATTGATGTAAATGTAACCTAGGTATATCATATAACTAAATATTGATGTAAATGTAACCTAGGTTTATCATATAGCTATAAATTGATGTAAATGTAACCTAGGTTTATCATATAGCTATAAATTGATGTAAATGTAACCTAGGTTTATCATATAGCTAAATATTGATGTAAATGTAACCCAGGTATATCATATAGCTAAATATTGATGTAAATGTAACCAAATCTTTGTAATTATTATATCTTTATCTCATTAGTGAGGAATAAAAGAAATGATGATGATGATGATGATGATGATGATGATGATGATGATGATGATGATGATGGTGGTGGTGGTTAGAAACAGTTTAATATACATTATTGTAAGTTTTACTGGCCGAACCTTATTTCATATCACATTTATTATATTTTACATATATTCCAGTAGCAATATTACAGTATTGTGTTATAGATGTTAATTAATTATTATTTATCAATGACTCCAAAATAGGAATGTACTGTAAACAATCCGATGTTATTGATAAAAATAAAAAGTAATTTAAGTTTATACTTAAATCACAAATTGAAATATTTATAAGAAATTTCAGATAAACTCTTTTCTTAGATAATGTCTTGCATCTCCGCCTTGACAAATCAAACGTGACGTTACAAAAGGACGTCAGACTTTTTATGTGCTGGGGCTAAAACATAAATTATTGGACAATGAAAATGGTTGTTTAACAGAGGATACACTATTGATGCTTGTCGGGCATTGCATGTGTACTTACGTGAGTAAACAAACAACGATTCGTGTATCAGATAAAGGATAGATAGATTTTACATGATATAAAATACATATCTTCTCTCCGACGCAATCATAACAGTACATACCGATATTGTTATCACACTGTATTTGCATACATGATAGATTATCATTGTGTTTCACCTCCATGGTATTAGTACAATCGGTTATCAACATTGACGTAACAGTAGTATTACACAATACACAGTTCGCTGGCAATTATTATACAAGGAACAGTGGACAGATTGGACTTGTTTTCACTATATAAATGAAATCTGAGTGATGATGCCCATTTGTCACCCAGATTTGATTCATATAAACACTAAAAATGATATGACAATTGTTCAGAAATTATAAATATCTTTTCTAACAAACAATTTAAAATTAGCCACGTATACTGTGCCTATCTTGGTCTTGTTTCAATCAAGACTTTTTCAAAGGATTTTTCGAAAAGCCTTACCAGATAAGGTAACGTTTTGTTTCAAAAAGATTAATGAAAGTTCAACGTTTGTTAGTATGGCGCCTAAATCACGCCTTGTTGTTGTTTCGTGATAAGTCATGTGAATACAATATCCGGATTAACACTGAGTCAATGGAAGATCATACTACTAAATGTAGATATTTGTATATATAACTCATCCACGTCTTAATCAGTGTGGTATTATCCTGATTTACCTATAACCATATATGTCGGTCACTTAGAACGTCTTCTGTTACCTCTTCTCCAGGTTAGTATGTCTGTATCAGTTTGGATTGTTGCCTTACTGGTCGTGGTAGGAAGAGGTACGTATACATACTCTCAATTCCTATGTCTAAATTGTTATTTACTGTCTTTAATATCTTATTCAATATATTCTGTTCAAATATCAATATATAGAAAATTTACACCCATATCAGAAATTGAGTTTTTACGGTAACTATTGATTTCTCTCATTTGAATCACTTATGTTATTGTTTTGTTTGTTTTTTTTTTTTTTTTTTTTATAATTTCAAAGTTTTCTTCCAAATAAGAATCATTACTCATGCATTTTAGAAGCTTCTATGGCACATATGTACCCAAACGACACAATAAGGCACAGTATGTATAATTTACAGCATATGACATGTTTGCGACTCATCTTTCTGTTGAGTTTCTCTATGATGAGTTGTTTCCTATGTTAGGTTTTATAAAGATGAATGCATTGGAGACAATACAAACAATAGGTGCAAGTGAAAAGCCAGAAAAGTGTTGCAAGGGGTAGCAAATCAATTTTGATTTCTTTTTAATCTATACAGAAATTAAGAAGGAAAACCCCATTCTTATTTCAGAATTTCAACAAGAGAACTGTAGAAAACTATATTGGTGTGTATTTGTAAATGTGATGTAAAAGTTGCTACTTAGTTATTTTTTCTTACAATATTCTTCAAGTCAATATTCCTGCACCAGTAATTCATGGCTGTTTTATAGTTGAAGGGTTCGGTGATGGCGCACCTTTGGGATCTTGCCTAACATTTTTCCCAAAACATGATTACGCCAAAAAGCAAATGGGGACCTCCCCCTTTCAGATAGAACTATCAGCGTCCTCGTTCATGCCTTCTCAAGAAATAGACGGTAAGATTTTGACTGTACTTCATCCTTCACGTCAGGCAGCTCCTAAATGAATAAACATTTTATATGTAGAAATTCATTTCATGTTAGTTTACATTTAAAATTATAAATAAAACAAAATAGATTAATACCACACATATTATATTATACAGTTGCAATCCGAAATGCCACTTGTGCTCCTATCTGGTAGAATCTTTAGTTCTTGCGATTTGGGAGGAGTTGTTTCCCTTCCTTGAACCTAGTGTGGCAGAGTGAATAGACTTAAATCTCGTCAATAAACCGCGAGATTCTGAGGCAAGCGATTTTTGCAGCGATGGAAAAGATAAAGAAATGTCTGAAATAAAAAAAGAAAAAGAAAAAAGAAAAAAGTTTTTTTTCTTCTACAATTATTTTCCTCGTGAAAAAGTACCTCAACCAAGTCAGAATATTAAGGTTAAACGACATGTTCCAAACTACACTGAAAGAAACACTTGATCAGACACTTTTCTGTGTTTTCTTTGTGTTAACGAGGGCTCGTAGGTTTGAATCTCCCTTTACATTGATATTCCTGCTAAAATCGGTTACATAAGAGGAAAGTATAATGTAGATATTGGTAAACAACGCAAACAGCTTCCAGGATTGATTGTCAACAGAACTGCCCCAATAGTATGTCTAGCATCGCCTCATTTCAAGCGGGTTCGTTCCTAACCGCGATAACTTCCATTGTATTGGTATATTAATTCGCATTTTTATCGAGAGAACGTTTCTCAATTTATATTTTCTAGAGAGAACAGGTTAACAAATCAAGCATCAATATTAATCTTATAAACAATTACGTTTATTTCCATGTCTCTAAGTGACCTTGATGGCACCTAGTGGTGAAACTTTTGTTGGATTTATGCTGAACGTACATCGACAAGCCGGGGATACGGAAGAACTACTTGGCAGATTTACAAGTGTCCCGGCGGACGGCACAAAGGCAGTGAACTGTATTGGCGGATTGGAGGTATATCTAATTTATCCTAAAGTCATTAAAAGTACTTAATAATGACTAAGATGCACTTAGGAAAAAAGAAAGAAAATAATGACATTTCAGCCATTGATTTATGCGTTGGATAACGCTATTGAAATAATTATTTATTTATTCATTTATTAAGAAACAATTATACATTTAATATGCAGCAAAGTTTGTTTTTAAGCTTTACAAAATTCCATAAACATAGAATACACTTATCACAATAATTATAGACGGTATGGGTTCGACTATTGTGAATACTTTCTTAAATAAGAGTATATCAATTTTGCTTTAGAATATGGTTACTCATACAGACAACAGGCAACGAAAACAACTGACGTTCACATGGAAAGCTCCGACATATGAAGTTGGTAATGTCACATTCAGGTATGATATTTGTGGAGGTAGTATTGTCTTTGACGTAGAAGTCTCTTGTTCTCCTGTGATATATTTTCTCTCGGCACTTCATTGTATTCGTCTGATATGTTGACAAAACCATACTTTGAATCTTATTTATGATAACAAAGTCACATGAAATACATCTTAAAAACAGGAAACAGAACTTGTAAATTATCTTTATGTATTGATGTCAAAATGGGAATAGCAACACTCTTCGATAAAGATTGTAATAGGAATGATGATCGTGGAAAATGGTGACGTATTTTTGCAGATGCAGGTAGAGATATATTTAAAATATGATAAAACAGATAAAAACAATTAGTCCACCGCTATAGTAGACAATGCATATAAAAGTTTTAAATATAATTTTATTTGTAAACAGTCTTAATCCATCCTTTTATTGAGATATTTCAAGATGCAACGAAGTGTGTTATTAGTAGGATACCATTAATTTCATATTGCAAACTTAATGGAGACTATTTTGAAATTTTAGAGCAGCGTTTGTGAAGTCATTTAAAGTGTTCTGGACGGATGTTACACAGGATCTCCATTCACAAACACCTACAAAACAGACTGTCGTCAATGAGGTGAAGTATTTAATTCAAATTTCTTCTATATACTCTTCAGCTGTAAATTCCAGTGATTTTAATCTTTAAAATATATTAAGCATGCTACACTATTTCCCTGCACGTACACAACCGTCACGAGAAAGTGAACATGACGCAAAAATGAAAATATTTCTTTCGCATAACTACCCTGTTATCAGTGTAATAAAATAGAGCAACATTTTGCTGTGTCACTATGTCATACGTGTAACATTATTTTGACTGGAGGTTGCCATAGTTTCCTGGCGTGATATGCATAACTATGTTATCAAAAAGAGATGAGGATTGAAATGATTGCAAGTTCAGATTTTATATTCTTTTCATCGCAAAAGTATGAAAGTGACGTGATAAAAAATTTTAATATTTGTATCCGATTGATACATTGTAAGTGGTATAGGATAAATTATTTTGTGTACAGATTCTCTTGATAATCTTTACATGAAGTAAAGTCATGAATAAGACGCTCCATTTAAAATATTGAAGAACCTTTACATTTAATTTTCAACTGGAAATAGGATTGTGTTACACTCTAAACAAAGAGCAAGGTATTGCTTCCTATTATATTATAATGGTATTGCCTTGAGTTGATAACATTTTGAGGCATTTTCAATTTCTTAGATCCATACATAATTGAAAACATTAAATGACAGCTGTGAAAACAGGCACCAAACGTCAGATACTTTCATTTCTTTTTTTTTTTCCATCTTTTAAATCTGCCTTCGAGTAAATCTGAAATGTAATGATTCATTTAGATTCAAGCCAATGAGGTGCGTATTAACTACGATGACTGTGGTAAAACTATGGGTTGTTTATTGTACCCAAAATACTGCAGTGGCCAAGACTGTGATGTAGGACTGACGTACACGATCAACCACCTTAACGCTACGTTCACTTTCTGGGCGAAAACAACAACCCAAAGTTATGTATCCGTTGGCTTCTCCGATGACCGACTTATGGTAAGTTATTCTGATGTATATTTAGCTTCAATAATCCTTAAGTTTCATGCAGAAAACAGCTTTTATTGATTTTTCATAAAACAGTCATTCAACTATGTTTGTTCACATTTCTCGTCAGAAACATGTTTTGAATTTTCACATTTAAGGGAAAGGACGAAACCATATCATGTACCTATGACGGTAACATTGTGACGTTTCAACATGGGAACAATCCGAGATACCATAACCAGCGGCAATATAAGGTAACGTGTAATCGGCTCACAGGCTCTGTATCCTAATGTCAATCACGTTGTCTTTCAGCTGAATGTCAGCTTCAATAGTTTAATAGTGAGTGTTGATGGAAACAAGGAAAACATTCTTCATTCAATATAAACATAGACCCGTTTTGTAATCGTACAAAGAATGCTTATTACCCTGATCTACGTAATTGAAAATGTTTAACAAAAAACGGTTTATCACAAAAACATATTAACAGATACTGAATATCAACGAAAAGCATTTAAAATGAATAATGATTGACATTTCCCTTCAATGTATTGTTGATAATACAGAGAGACCAGTTGAGTGACATGCACAGCACTTATTTAGACGGGAAGATGTACTGTGCATTTACCCGCCCTCATGTCATGAACGTCACCGAGTACAGTTCAAAGATTACAACCTATGACCTTAATGACCCTTACTATGTCATGGTAGCCTGGGGACATGTTTATGAAGGTATGTGAGGATTAATGTTAAATGATCAGTTATATACATATTTCTTTTATTCATGTCATTTGTAGCTTGTGTCTTAGAATGCTTACATGGGGACAGATGTGAAAATGATGGCTTAGGAAGACTTTCGCTTAAAGTCATTTATTTTGTCTAAAAGAAACATAATATTTGCAAGAAAACAAAAGAATATTGAATGGAAATCAGTGACTTCAGACCTTACTTTGTGGATCAAAGTTGAAGAAGACTTCGAGAGTCATCGTTCCGTCTGAACATGTGAAGTCTATCATCGTACATATTAAGTATCATTTATAAATTAAGATAATATTATGTTTAGGTACAGACGTGATGGGTAAGCACCAGGAACTCCCAGTGACCTCACTTAACCTGGTACAATTTAACAAGTATGTCATTCACCGTGGAGAAGCCTTGCCACTGCTTACTCAAGTCCACGGTACGTACACAAACGCTATTTAAAGATTATGCAAAAAGTCACATAAGTAAATGACACCATTTGCATTTTTGTAATACAAAGTATGAGTTAGACTGAGTAGAACCAAATTATGAATCGAAGTGCATCATACAGTTGTTTCGTCCTTCTAGGACTCGTAAGTGAAACGGAAGGCCTAAATTTTGAAGTCTAGGAAAATCCAAAGTGACCGAAAGAAAAGTCTAGCCCTAGACGGGGAGGTGCACTAGCCCCATCATTTAATAAATGTCGTAATTTTCATATATCAGATAATTCTAGAATAACGCCAATACATGTGTATATTATGAAGCGTGCCACTAATCAAGTGAATTTAAACGTGGCAAGCACGTTACGGCATACCTCGGGGGCTTAAAGTCCACCAGCAATGCCTACCACCTGACATCTTAAAGTTGTACAAAAGACACAAGTAAATATCACCTATTAATACAAATTAAGTGGTAGAGTAGTTCCAAAGATAAATTTCATCATAGAGTTGTTTTGTCCCTCATTAAAGTCTGATATGTATAAGCATTCTTAGTATGTAAACGCCATTGGCATTATGTGAATATTCGCAGTGACGTTCTTTGTATGCTGGGTCATTTCCGAGTTGCTGATATTGTCGGTGTTTCAATACGACTGCTGGTGTGGCGAATATCCTTTGAACAAAATGACAATACAGTGAAAGTCAGTAACAACTGTATTGTAAAACAAAAACAAAATTGTAGAACTTGCTGAACCATTCTCGTATAATATAAAGCGGTATATGTGTTTGGGATATTACCCAATGTCACCGATTTGAGAATACAGTTGAGCTCGTGTAAATATCATTTTTCATACATATCACATTAAGCTTTAGGGAACAATATGTTATGTTGAACTTATTTCCGAATACCATTTTAAACAATGGTTTCCTTTGTTAGTTTACGGGTGACGTAGATGAAGCAGAAGACGCTTACCCTTCCTGAAAGTTTGGTATTATTTTTTTTTCGAGGGGTTGTACAGACATCTCTTCTGTATATATTTTGTTCTAGTTTATTCAATTTTTAGTTTGAAATTAAACTTGCTTAAAATGTCGCTTTTTCATATTGCTTTGGTACAGGAATTCTGATGCTCGTCGCTTGGATCATGTTTGGCGGTTTGACAACTGTGATAGCAAGATATTACAAACCAATTTTCCCAGGAAAGCAAGTCTGTGGCACATCTGTCTGGTTTCAGGTTGATATCATTGAAATTTAAGACATCACATAATTATTCTTTATAAAGTATTTGATCAATCACATACATCTTTATCTTCATAGAAAGTAGTTACAGTAACTGTAGTTATAACGGTGATGCTATCATGATATTAAATGATTAGATTCATATAGCGACAGATACAGACCATACAGTGAATAAGAACTGTTGTTAAATAATGATACAGATTTCAGTTTTGAATTTGAAGATGTAGTTTTCATGATGATCTTTGATTACACTTATAGATGCACAGAGCGGCAGCCATTGTTGCATTCGTCCTGACAGCGGTTTCATTCATCATCATCTTCGTGAAAGTAAACGGCCTGACAAATGTACGTTAACCTTGCCAGAATGTCCTTCTTTATTATCATGATTTTTTTTACTATTTTATTGAATGTGCAGTGTTACCGATTTAGTGAGGAAATTTGGTGTTTGCACACGTTCATTACTTGAAAATTTCATTACCAATGTGTATCTATACAGACGAATCTTTTTCAAAGTTGCCTTTTGTTCTGTTTTCCACAATATCTTCAGGGTTGTTGGTACATCTTGAAGGACACTTTCGCCAGTCTCAGATACAAAGCCGCGAGGGATCTTTAGAATTTGTATCTTGGTCTATCTTGAAAATTTAGTGTCTTGCATGGCAGAGGTACATATATAGATCACTGCTATACATAAGCAGACATCTTACCTTAATACGAAGGAGAGGTGACATTGGCTATATCCCATACTTTTCAACGGTGAGAATATAGTCCTGCCAAAAGTTAAACAATGATCACGACAATTGGTGTGTACATAACTAACACAGATTCAAGGCCCACAATCCCTTAATTACACGGTCATTGCCCTTTGTTAAAATTTCGTGTCTAGAGCATAACTTTGCTGCAATTTATACTAGGATAATGAAATTTATTGCATACATAAGTCATACTGGCAGAGTGCAGTGCGCGTAAATTCAGGGCACGAAATCATGTAACGACAGAGTTACTGCCCTTTGATATAATTTCGTGTCCGGGGCATAGTTTTGCTTGCTTTTTACCGAGGATAATGAGACTTAGTGTAAACATTGGTCAGTAATACTAGAACAATACACATTGCACTACAGTCAGACATAGCAACCGCAGTTACAGTCAGAGCAATTCGTGTCCGGAGCATAACTGTTTTATGAATTAATGCGGATGAAACGTATGATACGTACGTGTACATTTAGAAAACAATTTTAAAAAAACTATTTTGTTTTCACACACAACTGACGATATCATAAGCACACAGACTAGTAACAGCACATACAGCATAAGTATGTGTCAGACACAAATATATTGACATACCATATTAACACAGACAAGAAAAGGTCCAGTCCAGTCGTTTGTGGGGATCATTCATCAGTTCCACTGATACACTTGTTGGGTACATCTTGTGTCCTGTTAGTGATTAAAAGTGGAAGCTGGATATATTGTTACAATTGTTTTATCAAAATATCAATTGCAAATATGAATTGAAATTATTGTTGTTCAGGGCTGTACATTTAATTTTATTTTTTTTCACAGGATACCGAACTTCACGGCTGGCTAGGTATAGCAGTTATGTCAGGAATAACGCTGCAACTATTTGGTGGACTGTTGCGACCCGACCAATCAAGCAATTACAGAAATATTTTCAATTGGGGTCACTGGTTTCTGGGAAAAGCGATTTTTCTCGTAGCAGGTTTATATACATATTTTATGATACGTTTTGCTTGTATGTGTTATTTCGATGAATAATTCTCAATGCGTTGACAATTATTTGACATCTTTCTTTTTCTTTAACGTATATATACAATTATAAAAAAACCAATAACAATAAATTAAACAGTGTATGACAATATGTATGGATGTTTAATAGAACGGTGTCAAATCCACCATAACTAACAACAATGCATTTATCTGATTTTGGATCTATAAATCTATTGGTGAAACACAATTTTTATCGAAGAACCTTTTACCGCCAGCTAAAACCGAGACATGTTTATACCGGTTACACTGCCTGAGTGTATTTGTAGATTTAAGTATTTCTTCTTTTGTTATAGTCGTGTCTTGTTTCGTGTTATTCAACACCGGATTCCTGCCTCAGGTCCAGGAGACATTCGGTAACATCCTGACAGCTTTGTGGATTAGTCTTCAAGTCATCTGGGAAATAGTTTTTGAAGTTTACAAACGTAGAAGACTTGGTACGTATATGTGTTACAAAACAAATCCGATCTGCTGAGGAGTGAAATGACAATGTTTGTTTTGATATCGTTCTGGTAATTGCTATTGCAAGACTACACAAAATGTAGCTGTATTCCTTATCATTCCTTACACAGTTAAGATTATATTTTGTATCGTGACTTAATGAAGCACATAATTTCATCCGTCTTCTTAATCAGATATGTAGATAAAGTTTATAAGTCATTTATATTCGACTTTGGTAGAAATAGAAATTTCTACTTGACGCATAGATATTCAGTTGATTCTGGGGGTGGGGGGGATCTTGAAAAAATAAGCTTGTACTATACTTAATATATTACCATTTCTGTATTGTAAAACACATTCGTGATACACAAATACAGGTATAACGCAATTATATATACATGCTAAATTTATAGAATTTTGAAAGACGTCTTTAAGACAACCTTTACATATTTCCAAAACATTTATCATTGATCATATATATATATATATTGACGTAATTACAACGTAGATAGGAATACATTTCATACGAAATATTTTAAAATAAGGGGAAAATTTAAACGAACGACGACACTCTGTTCTTATGAATACGTTTAACAAAATTAGTCTATGTCTATTAGTCTAACAATACAACGTGCATGGATTGAAAACAACTCACGTAGTCATGACAACCAAAAACGGATTTTATGTTTAGTACATCTATTTTTTTCTTCTTACAGGAGAGGACAACAAACTGGGAGAATTATCGTCATCAACACCAAACCTGCTTCTGATATTATACATGGCTACCCTATTGGCGTTAGTCGTCCTGGCCTTTTTATCGGTTTTCTTTTTTTGACTTTCGAATGATAACATTATATCGCTAATTGGTAAAGATAACAATTGAAAGTCGGAAGGAAAATTTTCATTTGACCATTTGCCATTGTCGTTTCTTGAAAACTTAAATTACTAACCCTCTTTGATATTAGTTTGGGTCAGAAAAATTTTATGAGGTCATGTGCCCAGATGAACACGGAAAAAGAATATAAATGGGAATTAAAGACCACCAGACCACTAGTGTCTGTGAGAAGCCTCATGAGTAAACACATCATGATTATACATATATCTACAATTATGTATTTCCCCTTTGAAAAGAGATTGTTGTCAAACTGGATTATGTAAGTTTAGAAGTAAATGTAAAGAAATTAGTGTATATATAATATAATATCTGTTGTAATCAATTCAGTAATATCAGACTAGCAATTATTTCAGGCGATTAACGCACCTTTCAATACCTCATCGGACGTTTGTATAAGAACACGTTTGTAATCGATGAAAATGTAGCACACTATTGCCTTCTTGAACATAAACCATATTTTTCATGTTTTAGAAAATTGTTTTATGCTACTTGTCATCATATCAGAAAGCATTATTTGTATTTACCAGAATGGAATATAAGTACATTTATTAATAATATACAGTCTGAACATATTCTATAATTTTTTCCTTGAACGTCATGTAACATATTACAGTGTCAGTAGTGAACTATCAGTTTATGTACTTAAACTCGAATCTTGGTATATAACTCAACGGGTTAGAAAAATACTAGCACTAGTCTTTTTTAAGATGTTTAAGATGAGAAAATTTTGACGAATTCTGAAAAGAGATGCACATATACGAGGTACGAATAAATTATGTATATATTTATTATTATGTACAAACCATCCATATTTGCGATAAAGGCAGTTTTTATGTAAATTTGTAATAGATATGCATGTCGCTTGTTTCCTGATGTCATACAATCCATAGCAATATGATTTTGATATTTCAAAGTCATTTTTTCTTCCTCCGTCTTAATGTTTTGAGGAGGTCTTTATTTGCACGTAACGTTTGTAAATAAAGCGCAATTTGGAAGTAACTTCCATGTTTCTGTAGATTAGAGTTGATCTAAGATATGTTAATTTGTTTAAAAAGAATCCTTAAATTAGGTCAAAACGATTAGAATCCTGCCATGACAAAAGTGACAAATGCACTAATTCCGGTCGGGTGACGCAGTGGTAACACACTCGCCTTTCACCTAGCCGACCGGGGTTCGATTCCCGGAACGGATGTGAAAAGGTAAGGGGTCACCTGCCCGACCACGTTGGTTTTCCCCGGATACTCCGGTTTCCTCCCACAATAAGACCCCTCGCGCGCTTACATCTGGGCCAACAAGAGTTATTAGTATAAGTTGACATAACTTGTTTCGCAATTGTTGTAAAATAAATAAAGTTTATATTTTACTAATTCCATAAGTATATATAACATATTCCGCTCTTTTAAAAAGAATGGAATTTTTTATTGATTTTTGTAATGTGCACAGAGATTCAGCTAAGAAAGTCATTATTTCGAGTTATTTCCCTTACAATGTACTCCTTAATCTCATACAGCATTTGTGTATAAGATGACCGAAAACCAACACGTAGTTTAAAGTAGTTTTCCTGATGATGCTTAAATGGACTAAATAGGTTAATCAAAATGATATACTGAGGCTATTATAAAATGGTGCAAAAGACACAATTTTAGAATTAGATACAGAAGAGCCAAGACTTAAAATGCAGCATCATACAGCTCCACAGATATATGTTGAGAAATCATGATGCTTGGAAGCTGGCCTCATATCATAAGGTTTAGGATTTAGTTCAGTTTTTGAGGAAGTACCGTTGCTATTCCACCCAAGTTTGTTCTGATGTGTTTTTGGATGAAGTACGAGGTCCTCGTACCTCATATTTGGAGAAAGGACTGCAATATATTTATTGCTTCCCTGCATATTAGTTCAAAGTCATATTGGAACAACTCCCATGATGTAACTCCACTATCTTATACATTGGTTCTTACCTTTAACCTGTCAAATTCCAAATCATGATTTGAGAGAATTTTAGCAAGGAAGGAGAAAATGCCTGACATTTTCTTAAGTTTCATTTAACTGGTAATTGAACCCGACCATACAGGTCACTAACCAATTTGGCGGATGGAGGAGTTCAATCTATATAAAATGTAGCCATTTTCCAGATTCAGTCTTAAAAACACATATTTTCAAAAGAATTTAGCTAAATTCATAAATTGAAGGCAAAGTTTTTCAGGCAGTCTGTTAAAAAAATCCTAGAAATGTAAAATCTGGGAAGAAATTCAGCATATGATGGATAGTTATCCACAAAACAATTAAAAGATAGTTTGTCTATCAAGTTGGCAACAGGGTTACATTTATTTTTACATAAAGAATGGATAGAATATAACGGAAACGTGATCTGCGTCAAAGCGACACATAAGAACGTTCTATGGTAAAAAGACGGACGATAAACAGTAATACGACGTCGCCATAATGATAACGAGAGTACTTAGATTTATTAATTTTATTTTGAAATAAACTACAGAGTATTTGCATTGCATTGCACGAGTTTTTACGCAGTGAAAACAATGATTGCATTTCGTAGACAAAATGAGTTGCAGAATGAGTATCCTTTCAGAAACAATTTAGAAATGACGGGCTCCTATCACACTCGTATGAACCATCATTATCAATACAATAGATTAATCCAAAACTACTGAATAATATACTGGTACATTATCATAACAGAAACGAACAAATTCCTTAGTCCTTATGACTTCTTTCTGGTACTGATTTTTCTTTTTCTTTTTTGTCAGGTGCAAGTGTCAACAAAGTCATTTTTTCAGAAACACCGTTTGTAATTGTTCTGCCTTCGATATTCAATGAAATAAATATTTTGTATTAATATACCATTTTCATTGAAGAATAAATATTACGGACACCGCTAGTGCTATCACAGAATAGGATAGAGATCTTGTGCTTGCTTTGTTTGGATCTGAAAAGACAACACACTTGAATTAACAAAACAATAGCACTAGAAATCAGGTGTGTAGCTTTACTGCATAAACAAATATGTAAATTACAGAATTAAGATCTTCATACGAATACAAAACGCCATGTTGCAAAACATTTTTATCATAAAGGCCTTGGTAATATATGTTATAATTATACGAATATCATGAAAATGATTTTTTTGTATTTCTTGGGGATATTTACATGACACAATATTTTATATTTTATATCAAACAAAACCTGTGTTTTCTTATGTAACGTTATAAGCAGGAAGGAAGAATTGATCCACAACAGGAATCATTTGAAACATCTGACATCATATTATTTACTGCAATGGAAATTAAAAGGATGGTCACATTGATGAAATGTTTCTCTTGTCTTTTGCATTTTTGTCATTTTGTTTCAGCAAGCACTTATTTAACGTTACTTATTAAACAACCATTGGTTTAAGCTTATATTAATCCCTCTTGCTGGCTCGGATGGACGCGTACGAGGGGTATCTTGTTGGAGGGAGGAAAGCGGAGTACCCGGTGAAAACCCAGGTAACTCCATACCTCTTACGTCCGTCCTGGGAATCGAACACTGGACACAAAGGTAAAAGGCGAACGCGTTGGCACTGCCACACAGAATCACCTAACAGGGTGGGATAACGAAACTCGTGTCAAATGCCAAGTTTCTTGGTAAGTTTCGTTACATCAGGGGGTTATGTTATTACATTTATTTATCAACTTACTCATGCCAATGGGCAATTTTTCACAGATAAATCCTATTTTGGCTTTGCATTTGATGTCTATGTAACGTCCAGCCCAAGCCAACATTACGCAGTCTTTATTCCCGAGTTTGTCGTTGGGCTCAGAATTCCATGGCCTGTCAACAAAAGATCATTTAACTTATATATTTTTCAGGCATACTTCGTCTTTTTGATAAACTTTTAGCATTTTGCAAATGATTTTAAGGAATAAGGAAAACGACAAAACGAAAGTGATAAAACGAAGTATACTTTTTTCACTTAAGTTGATTTCAAGGTACATGACTATATTTTGCTATTTCTATTAACTCCACAAAGGCAGTGCATTATGAATCCCCAGACAAATTTTCTTGTTTAATCTAGACTATCTGCAGGTTTCACTTTATTGTTTGTACAAACAGGACTTATTGAGAAAACAATATCGATGTTGTGAAAGGCATGGAGGAAAGTACGTTATTGAAGTCTTACACGACAGCCATATTTGCTGGATTGTTTGATGGAGTTGGATAGCTCCAGATTCCCTCGTATTTGATGTCGTTTAAACCCGTCCACCACGACTTAGGATTTAGGGGTTGATTTGCCAAAGCGTTGTTGATGAAGGTCTTGCAACATAAATGTATATAATTAACCCTAAAGATCGTTTACCATGCTAGATTTTTAATAGAAGCATAAATGAAGCTTCGAATGAACTCGTACACCAAGACCTATAACTCCGGAATTTTTACTCTTATCCATTTACTTTCTAATCAATTAAAGGGAAGAAAAATTCTGAATATTGTACGGTATTTTACTTATGGCATCAATATAGACTTGCTTTGTCCTTACGGTTACGGATACCATAACTAATTAGGATACAAGTTCTGCAGACGATCGGCCTTTTATGACTATTTTCACTATAAGGAGCACTATTGTTTAACATCAGAATGCTGCAACATCTTTCCAAAAAATTAAGCTACTCATCAACTCAACGACGGACTTAGATATGAAACAATTTTTCAATTTTCCCATCAGCCTTTACAAAACCCCTTAAAAGTTGGGTGTACGATATACTTACCATTTCTGCTTGGCTATTTACAGCTAGTAGTGTCGGCTCCATCTTATTCGGCTGGGCCAAGTTTTTACAAAAAGTATTGGCCTCGTCCCACGTGAACGTTTGGTTTGCGGCAGTAATATAATAACACACAGTGGTGGTTGATGTCCAGGCTATCCATCCTTGTGGACATTGATTATCTGTTTAAAAATGTGATTTACACATATAAACCTGTCAACATCAACAAACATTCGCATGTGATAGCCATGATCAGGAGAGCAGAAGACGATCAGAGCAAACCATTATACTGATACATGAAGGATAATCTTATGTGAAATGTGTTCGTGTGAGAAGATGAAAAGCTTTTTATACCATTATATTCACAAATGGCGGGTGCCTGCAGGAAACAATCTCTGTCATTATAGTTGCCATCTTGACGAATGCCTGCACAATCTTCGTCTCCAAACCACGAGTTTGGCTCCTGGTTCCAGCGACTAAAATGTGCAATCACAATTTTATTAAAACATCATAAGTGGAAATATCAATATTCGAAATTAAAACCTTTATATATATATATATATATATGTATGCATATAAATATATATAAACTTCCGTTGCATGCTGTACAGTTACTTACATAAGCGAACTATTGGCTAAGGTGCCATCAGCCCAGCGGTAGGTGCCTTCGGTGGCTTGGTCATTGAGACCGGACCAGTAGACGTTTGGATGAGACTCATCTGTCAACTGCCATTCAACCCAGTCCTGAATAATGTGATCATAGAATTAAGGGAGAGGATAAATATGACGTCACAGATACGGTCACTGCACAGGTTCGTTTACCGCTAGAAGAAATTACGTTTCCCAACGATCATGCAACCAGAAAAATGATTTGTACCCCAGTAAATTTGGATACGCGACGTGAAAAAGCGCAATGGTAGAATGACATATCAGTTAATCTGTCTTTCATCTTAAATGCCGTCTTCGTCATTTATAGCGGAGCATATCGATAAACAATGTGAACGATCTGTGGATTCAAGCCATTGGCCAGTTTAGAATGTCATTTGATAGTGCTATACTTGCAAACAAATATCTGAAAAAGTCATCATATTAAGTGATTTTGAGAGATAAAAGAAATGTTCTGATTGGATGAGAAAACTTTTGTAGATATCATACGTTGCATTTCAGATATCATAGTTTAAGATTTTGACTTCATAACATCAAATTACAATACGATATTCAATTTAACGCCGACGTTAATACTTAATTGCAGTTACGTACCTGAACCAATAAATGTAATGCTCATAGAGACTACACTAATTATTTGAATCAACTCACCCTTTCGTCTAGAGATTCAACTTTCAATAACCTTCCTTTGAGAGTTGTACATATCTTGTTTGCATCAGCCCAGGTGCTTTTAGGTCCATCATAAATCATATAGCACTTGTGACCGGCACGTGTCCATCCATTACACCCCATGTAGTAGTCTGTGTTCTCTAAGAGTATGTAAATCACCCACGTTAAGTTTATCATTAGATTCTTCAGTAATGCATAACATAAGTGAGAACGACAATTTTTCCTTTTTGATTACCGGTTTCATTTGTCCAGATACATATAAAGGTTATTATACTTAAGTATCACAATAGGATTTCTATAGAGATTCTTACCAGAGGTCCCATTTCATTCGTGTAAGATTTATGAACACATATCTTTGTATTTTATATAGCTTCTGGCGAGATAATATAAAACAGGAAATCCTGACGAGTTGTTTTAAATCTCATATGGAATGCAAACGAGTTTAAATGTCTGTTTATCACAGAGAAACGTTTGCAAACATTGAGAAAACATAATTGACACAATATTATCTGTATTCTCACTCAATAACCGCTAGTAATGTAATATTACCTGTGACGTTATGACGCCATGTGGCGTCAAAATTGGAAACAGTGGGAACCTTCAGAAAACCACAACTAATCTGACAGGTGTATGATAACAAAAAGCAAAAATATTTTTACACTAATAACTGGGTGGTTATATGATAAAACATGATGACAAACGGTACATTACATACTAAGCAACTTTTGTCCATTTGGCCTTTTACCACTAAGTTGAAAATGAGAGATAGGGGTGTTTTGTATTACAGCTAAAAATGTTTATGTTTATTTGCGTATAAAGCTAGCAATGAACGAAAATAAACATTTTATCAGCGGGCGAACAAAACTTGAAGCAAATGTGTCCCATATACAAAACGTACAGGTAAAATTGTCTTATAAGTCTCATAAAAACTTTCTGCATGCTACTATTGAATTGAGGAAAAATATTGAATATGTAAAACCTATATCCGGAACTTCATGAAAGCATCCAGCTATCTTAGAAGTTAAAGACATATTACAGGCAGGAATATTAGCTTACGTGTAGTGGTGCCCAAACGACAAGCGAAGTTCATCAGTTTGTTGCAGTTCTGGTCGCTAAATTTTCCATCTGTTTTCAGGACGGCACAGTGTTCGTCATTATTGATATGGTCAGGTTCTTTGGCCCAGGTACTGAAAATTTGATTACACAAGTAAAACGTTTAAGTTAACAATAGGAAAAGACTTCAGTAGCAGTAACGCTGTTATAAGATCGACACGTAATAGCATTTGAAATCATTCTTAATTACTTCCTTTTCTAGAAAATATCTCATTGTTTATATCTTTGAGGGTTGTATTTAGTTTTCTACTTAATCATAAAACCAACATTTTATTTTCTTAACAACTTACAAAAATCCATTGCTGAACGGATCTCCGCTGTCCCACGCCCAGGATGTCGCTTTTTTAACTAGACCTGTCCAGTACATCATGGTGGAGTTGGCTATCTCTGGCATCTCGTTAACGATGTACGCCTAAAACATTGTCAATAATGAGGATTAATTATGCCATATGAAATGTACCATAAAGTAGTTCGATAGGATTTCTTCATGAAATTTTAGGAAGCTATATAATGTCATTATCAGACAAGTTAAAGGTATTCTTCCTTATATTGGCACAAATTTCTTACTTAAGTAGAACTTAGGAGGACAGAGACAAAACTCTTAAATAGGTCCCGCTAATCAGTCCGATGTGTGAGGTCGCTAACCTGAAAAGCAACGTTTTAGATTGCGCTTGGCTTTATGCTATTTCTTCCTCTATAATTACTTTTATTATTTCTAGTTTTAAAATGAGAACAAATCAAATACCATATTGCGGACCACTTTAAAAACAAAGGAGTTTCCGTGATGAAACCTGCCATATGAATCTAGGTCAGTCAAATTGATGTTACTTTATCACAAAGATAGCAAGGACACTAATAATAAAACAATTAAATCTGATAACAAAGAAGAAAATATTTCTTACGGCATCAGTTGTTCTATCAAGAGTCACGAGTTTGCCCGTAGCATTGCCAGAAACCTTCGAGGCACACATGGCCTTGGCATCGGTCCAAGTCAATAGCTGACTTGGATCACTGGTGTTGCTAAAGTAGTAACACGTGTCTGTTCCAAACATCCACCCGAAGGGACAGCCAGTGTCTATAACAGACAAAGTCTTAATGTATATGTGATTACCTCACTGACGTGAAAAGCTGAAAAAGCAGAGCTAACTTTGCTGCTGACACTTATATTTGGATGGGTTGATGGATGGATAAATGAATGGGATAAAGAATATCATATCTTTCGATACGTATACAATAACAGCAATCCTTGTAACCAAAAAAAGTCTCAGTTGAACGAAGCATAAGTGTTTTTGTACTTACAACGACCAACGTCCAGCTCGCATATATACCCAAGGCGCTGATCACATTTCCAGTTCTGAAAAAAGCCTTGAATATTGATTGCTCCACACGAATCTTTTGAATTGCTGGTAGGATAATGTTCCCAGGATCTGAAACAGGTTTAAACCCAGTACAAAGTTCAAAGCAATGTACGCTGGAAAATATAATTGGGGTTCCATTGACTTAAAGCACACCCAAATCATCACATACACTTAGAGAATCATAAACAGATAATAGCATGATATGTGCTTTGTCTCAAATCTGGTATGTATCATATCGACAAGAACCAGAGTGTAAAGCCAGCAGTATAAAAGCGACAAATTAAGGACTAAAGCGAAAGCTGTATTCACATGTGATACATGTCATGAATTCATACTCACATAGTGGACATATTCACTTTCTCATATCCTCCCCATTCCCATACTCCAGTGCCTGTTGCTGTACCATCAAACCGAAGGTCGGTCATATCAGTCCAGAACCCATCTGACGTAAATTGTGGAAGAGTATCCCCAAGGAACGCCTGAAAAAATAAACACGCGCTGATGAAAACTCCATCAAAATTGGAATATTTCTTTTTTTTTTCTTTACATATTTTCAATTCCAAAAAACTAGCTCCTACATCACCAAAATATTAGTCTTACGAAGTGAAGATATACAGAAAGTTATTAAATTGATCAAATATTTTCAGGAGAAGTATTTTTTAATGTTTTACCAGTATTATGAAATACCGTTGATAAAAGGCGTTTTCGTCGAAAATTGACCATAAAATGCTTTCAGAAGGATTTAAAAACTGAGATTAATATTCTCATATCAATAAACTTACTTTTACCAACGATTATTACTATTCAAGTTAAACGTCAATATTCGGTCATTAAATGTTTATATGATATCTTTAGAAACATCGCTAGTGAAGAGATTTATCCATGAAGGTATGTAACCTTGCTATATCATCTGTATTGTCCCTTATTACTAACAACGTTGTTAAGTATCTAACAAATCCGACAAAAATACAATTCTAGCCTTTTAGAAAACAGACACTCGATACTTTATTTCGAGTCACGGTTATTCAATAAGGTCTTTTTTATGTTCTACAAGTTCCGTCTTTTCCACAACTCCACTTATGATCTGTAAACTTCAACCAAGTGGCGAATTCTGATGTGATTCACAATTGATGCTCCTTCAAGGACACAGCTGAATTTTTTTATCGTCAATATCTCTGACCTAATTACCAAATGCGAGCATGGTTATGATGGCATTGGGTATCACAACTATACACAGAGTATTACAACAACTACACAGAGTATCACAACCATACACAGAGTATCACAACTATACACAGATTATCACAACATCTACACAGAGTATCACAATAAATACGCAGAGTATCACAACAACTAAACAGAGTATCACAAAGCTACAAAGAGTATCACAACAGTTACACAGAGTGCCACAACAAATACACAGAGTATCACAACTACACAGAGTATCACAACAGCTTCACAGAGTACCACAACAATTACACAGAGTATCACAACATCAACACAGATAATCACAACAGCTTCACAGAGTATCACAACAATTACACAGAATATCACAACAACTTCACAGAGTATCACAACAACTACACAGAGTATCACAGTAATTACACCGAGTATCACAATAACTACACAGAGTATCACAACAAATACACAGAGTATCACAACAACTAAACAGAGTATCACAACAACTTCACAGAGTATCACAACAATTACACAGATTATCACAACTACACAGAGTATCACAACAACTACACAGAGTATCACAACAACTACACAGAGTATCACAACAACTAAACAGAGTATCACAACAAATACAAAGAGTATACAACAGCTTCACAGAGTATCACAACAACTACACAGAGTATCACAATTACACAGAGTATCACAACAACTACACAGAGTATCACAACAACTACACAGAGTATCACAACATCAACACAGAGTATCACAACAACTACACAGAGTATCACAATTACACAGAGTATCGCAACATCAACACAGATAATCACAACAACTACACAGAGTATCACAACAACTACACATAGTATCACAACAATTACACAGAGTATCACAACAACTAAACAGAGTATCACAACAAATACAAAGAGTATACAACAGCTTCACAGAGTATCACAATTACACAGAGTATCACAACAACTACACAGAGTATCACAACAACTACACAGAGTATCACAACATCAACACAGAGTATCACAACAACTACACAGAGTATCACAACAACTACACAGAGTATCACAATTACACAGAGTATCACAACAACCACACAGAGTATCACAACAACTACACATAGTATCACAATAACTACACAGAGTATCACAACAAATACACATAGTATCACAACATCAACACAGAGTATCACAACAACTACACAGAGTATTACAACAACTACACAGAGTATCACAACAACTACACAGAGCATCACAACAACTACACATAGTATCACAACAACTACGCATAGTATCACAACAACTCCACAGAGTTTCTCAACAATGACACCCAGTAGCACAATAACATGAAGTATTATGAGTAATACTCTATTCATTTTTGAGTAATTGAATAAAACAATTGCAAAAGCAAGGCTCGAACCTGAGTCATTGACTGTGAAAATATTTTGAAATTAAAAAAAAGGAGTATCACAGAAGTACGCGAAAAGGTATCCGATCTGGGCGAAATTAATTACCTTTTCGTAAGCAGATTCTACCCTAACTAGTGTAGCAAGGTAGTCGTTACATTCGTCCGCTGCCTCCTGGTGTGTCACGCGCTTGTTTGTGTTGAAGAGGTAGCAGTACCCGCCAGAGGGATACCAACCAGGGTCACATCCAAGATCAACGGTGTCTCCAAACACAGCTTTTTATACAGAAATGGATTATTAGCATAATAACCTCTTTCAAATTCACCTGTATTAGGTTTAATTATAAAAATGGAAACTTTGTTTTGATGGATTTGGTTTACAAAACGTGGATCAGAAACAAAGAGTGCAAATGTGCATCACATTCCTGACTTTATCAGAGAGTAATGAGTTTACAGGCTGAGTCAATATCTCGTCGTCTGAATGCACCGATAAAAATGATATGGTGGTATCATAACTATTCCAGAAAATGTGAGTTCGTGTAAAAATAGTAGTAATTACAGTCGAAAGATGATTATGTTAAAATTTCTACATCTGGCGAATCAACATTTATCACAATGGTTCGTTGAAAGACTGTCTCCAGTGTCAAGATATATCTGTGACCTTTATTTGAATACATGATTATGATATAAAATGTTTGAAAAAGAAATAATAATCGATGAAATGAGGACAAATTATAAACAAATGAAGAAAGTACAGGGAGAAGGTTAAGGAAGACAAAGACAATCAGACCATACTAAAGAAGAAAATCAAAACAACACAAGTGCAATATATAGGGAATTGTTACGATTGTTTTGCAATTAAAACGCCTTTATGTCGTCATATTTAAATATTGGTTAGTAAAGAAATGGTACAATTATATCAGATGAAAATGAACCATTTTCATAAGCATTCATAACAATTAAATACAAAAGAATGAAGAAATATGAAAATACGAATGATAAGCATTTTTATATGTAGTCATATTTACCACTGAAAGCTGCCAGTAAGAGAAATACCCTCAGCATATTGACGATTTAGTTACAGTGTAGAATGTCGTACCGCCATCAGTTCACCGCCCCAGAACACTTCGTTTCGACTTTGATCACATTCGTTATCTCGATTGTGATATATTCCAAACCCACTGTTTATACACAGTATCAGTTACACAACGTGCGACATACCGTTATCTTCTACAGCAAGTTTAATACAATTCATACAGGCTCTAATCCTAACCGTATCACAACAACTGCTGTCTGGTGGCCAGATAGTGTACTTAGATAATATCACAACATTTATGTAAGTGTTCTATTGTGTATATGTGTTCAAACAGCTATTTAACACAATTTTCTTACGATTTCCCTTGAAAAATTCTGCTAAAGAACAATGTGTTTACAGGAAAAATCGTCATTGCCAACATGATAATACAAACAAAAAGATAGATTCCCGACAAGTCAACAAAATATTAGTATGTTATAATGTCCCTAAAACCTTAACATACCTATCTATCTATGTTTCTATTTCTCGGGATCGTACGATCGGGGACACATTGCTTTTGTGCTGCATGTTTGTTTGTCTGTTGCCATTACTATTGCATCGAAAGAGGTCGGGCTTTCATAAATGGCATGTGTGTTCCTTGTGACAAGACCTTTCCGACAGTACCATTTATTGACCATGTGACCTTGACTTGACCGTGACCTTTTTAACCTACAGTTGAATTTTTTTAGCATAGGCCATAACAATTTAACTAAAGCTTTCAAATTATTACCACAATGAAGACATATGTGTTTCACAAAATGTGCCTGCAATTAGCACATGCCTTACAGAATAGAATTTTAATGTCCCACTTTAATTTTTTCGCGGTCGTGGACATGTTGTTTCATAAACACGTCTTGTTTCTTTATGAAAATGAAAAATTTTAAACAAAATTACAGAATTAATACACCGAACAATTTATTACGTTCATATATACGCGTTGTTCATTAGTTTTATTAATTGATCTCTCGTCCTATTGTATGTTGATAAACTAGAAGTTACAATTCAACAGATTAACCAATTAAAATATAATCCAATCAAAATATAAACCAATCAAAATATAGACCGATCAAAATATAGACCAATCAAAATATAGACCAATCAAAATATAAATCAATAAAGAATAATGAGTAATGAATTGATACAAAGCACACTCAATTAAAATAAGCAACAACAAAACAATATATTTCACTTCTATAGATAATTAATGGATACATATCTTAAAGGACTAAAATGTAAACAAACCCGTGATTCCGGTCAAAATCGGGGACACGATAAGAACAACAGTAATACTAACACAAGCGGAGTTACTACACCTCATTCATCTTATATAACTAGGCCAAAATCACACAAAGATTATCAAAAAGCTATGTTTGGTAGTGTAGGTGCAGAAAAGCCTGCAGAAATACCTAAATGTTAAACACTGAACATATAGAAATATACCTTTCTAGGAAAGGAAAACAAAATACGTGATTTCAATCGACAAACTGAACTTAGACACCATCAAACCCTAACAAGCAAGGCAATGATTATCCAACTAATCGAACATATCAAAACCCATATAAATGAATCGTTTTCCTCCACAAGTATTGTTATCGAACTCAGTTAAGATATTTTTATCTTGACGCGAGTCTTGTTTTTCTCAAGGTTTTAACAGGTGCTCGTATATTTGAAATGTCAGTTTGAGAAATTATAAAGAAAACGTTAAACTTAAACTGATTCATTGCTCGAAAGAGAAAAGATAATATATACCTTAATTGTTTAAGTGCAAGATCTTGCCGATAACCTGGTGATATATCAGTACATTTGGTACTAATTATTAACAACTCGAACAAAGTTTATTTGTTTATATTGTTTATCATTTCTATACGTTCTATTAATGACCAGGGTCATTTAAGTGCAGGCCAGGTTTGGGCGATGGAGGAAATCAGGAGTTCCTTGGAGAAAAAGAACCTACCTACGGCCAGCACATGACGACTGCCCCAGGTAAGTCTCGAACCAGCGACCTAGAAGTCGAGGTCTAGTGAAAATGATGATCAGGCATTTGAACCACTCGGACATCTAAAAAATCTCACAGGATCAACCGGTAACATCAGATAGATGTTTAATATGAATGTAACAATATACAAATATGAAGTATAGATGGTGTATGAAATCGATTATTAAGATATGAACATTCCATTACGGTGTGAACTTTTAACAACATGATAATTCTAGTTAACAATGTCCTCGTAACTGGACGACGTGCGACAAGTACATACATAACTTACACTAGACACATCTATCGATTATAACAATGACATATGACATATGTCCTTGTGTCTTAAATCATTGTACTGTCATTGTATCAATATAATGATTATTAATGTCGTGTGTACTTAATGCATCCACAGAAATTTTAAAGTGCAGTCTTTAGTCTTTATATATATTACAATAAAACACAGAGCCAATCATTAATGTAACAAAGATACTTGTCAGTATTACATATATTACAATGAGAAAATGACATGGTACATTTCCCTGGAGGGATATAACACCATCTTACCATACGATAGAGGGATCCTTATAGCGAATTAATTCATATTCAAAATACTTTTGCACAGGTAACGCGTAGATGCCACGTCAACGTTAAATGAATGGACAAACAAGAACCGTGCGCGAGTGCACGTGGACATGAACGCTCACCTGGCAATGAAAAGTTGAAGACACTGTTCTATTCTTGTCCACATCGTGATCATGAAAATAATTTATTAGGTTGAATATGTGGCACAAATAAGCAATGATGGTCATATGCTGCATAAACGACACTAAAACTTGACATATCACCGAAGCTCAAACGGATGACACGAAGGTCACGGCTGAGGACGGGTACGGCGTACACCAGTCATCTGCGACGACAACAAAAATGGCAGTTCTTGTTGAAGAAAGGGACACTCACTGGAAATATAAAACATGTTACTAAGATATACGGCCCTTAGAATAACAAAAACGTGACTAAAGATAGGTTAAGTTTTCCTTTCTCAGGAGTTACAATCCTTGTCACATACATATACATGTATATTCACTTTGGGTCTAGAGTTCGTGCCAAGTCCGTGTGATGTGGTATCATAAGAACTGTACATGGTAAAATTCTTGAACCGTGAAAAAATGGCTGCTTGGGCCCTATCAAATAGCCACTCCACTCATTGAATAATGAGCGAGTGACACCTGAAGCCAAATTAACCACCATTTTAAAAGTACAATATTTCTGAAATCATACAATGACAATTGAAGAATGAAACACGATCTTTCGAATAAGATGACATACGAATAAACCATTCCCTAATAGGATGAATACTGAGAAATAACATCTTGCAAGATTTGAAAACATTCTTCAAGCATTGTGTTTGTCAACCTAAAAATTCTCACCTAAATTATTGTTCATCCTTTGTTTCCACTCGTTTTAGTATTCCGGTTAACGATCATACATTTTTTTTTTCTAATTTCAACATTTCTTGTTGCTGTTCATCGAATCTCCTAGGAAGCCGGCGTTCTTTCTTCTGGTTTTGATTTTTACTCAATTCGTGTTGTTTTTATTATTTTGATCTTTTGTGTCTATTTGTGTTTTGTGTTTATTTCATTCTGCGTTAATGTTAATTTGACATAATCTTTATCTTCGCTAAGGGACTTATTTTGTACATTCATATGTTAAAGCTTTCCGTTATTGTATCCTCTTTGAAATAGCTGTCTAATTCACTTATATAGAGTGAAATGAACGATTGTGATAATGCATGATAGATGCTACTCGATTTCCGGTTCCGGTTCTGTATATAAGAGTATGTTTACTGTGTTCTATGTTAAGGACTCACAAACACTCCGTTTTTTGTTTCTTCGTATATTTAGCATATAATTCACACCATCCATTTAAGTTTTTGTTTACATAGCGAGTCTTTCAAGCATAACAGTTTTGAAATATTTGATAACTTTAAGAATATAATAGGTACTTCTTAATAACATCATATTCACTGATCATAACTATTTAGATATATAACTTGTTCTAAACTGTTGAGTCCTTTACTAAACGTAAACACAGGCAGTCTGTACTCGATAACCTCTCGCGCTCTGATCAAACTAAGGTGATGTAATATTCTGGTTAAAGGACATTTTTGATAAAATAATCAGGAAATTCTTAAATTACTCACAAAAATAGTTCAAGTATCTTCAAAAGTAACGATGCTGAAAGGACGGCTGCATCCGATCAGATAAGCTGATTTATGTTACTCGCTGTGTTATAATTAAGGGAACATAAAGGATTCCGGTATGTATATTATATGTTTATTTAGAGCCCCGTACAAAAGCATGGTTACTCTACCTTACAGTACCACGAAATAAAGATATGGGTGTCTTTCTTATCAAATAGAAAAGTAACACTAGAAAAGAAAAAGACATCCCCGATTTATGTTCTATAGGGGTTAACCAACGAAACACGTATCACTATAGGAAAACATTCAGTTTGAAAAATGTTTATATGAAATAATTTTGATCCGTCTTTGAAGCTAACAGTGCCTTCATTTTAGAGAAACGGTAATTTTAATCTCTCTTTTTAAGATCACTAAATCCTCGTCAGAGAACACACATAAGCGCTCATCCATAAATAAAGACTGATTTACCAACGGTGTACGTAATCAGCGACACAAGTCATCCGTGATGGTGAGGTAGTGCTGTGACTCTGTAAACCACACCATCAGTGACGTTTTAGGATACCAGATTTCGGTGATTTAATTTTTAGGTACAGGTTTACATGGTTATTTCAAGTATTAATGATGAATACCATCATCAGATTTATCGAGTGTTAAAAGCGTTTACAATTTAAACAAAGTCCTCACAAAAGTACAGTGAAACTTAAAATGGCAGGACTTTGAAATTGAAATACAAAACTTTATTTTCAGTTATTGTGTAGAAAAGTTATATCGTTAAATGTCTTATTGAATTTTTTAAATTTCAAGCTGGGTGTTGAATTGAAATCGCATTCATAGATGTTTAAATCTCTCTTTTTCGGAAATGAATGCACATCAGCATTATGCACTTAATGGACTTGCTTTGTTCATACTGTTTTTGATTGAGTAAGGAGTGAAACGGGACTGGAGTTTAAACACAATGACGTGTAAGCAACTCTTGTCTTCCGGTCGCGTGTCATGGTCTCGAACTCGACATCGTATTTTCGCGTTCTCGACATAAAATAGAGTGGTGAGATGTCCCTTTAAACCCTTACTGGCCGCCATTTAAAATTCATCAGAAATCATATAGCATAATCACCATTGATTATCAACCACGTGTAAGTCACCCTAGAAAAAAGTCATTTTCGAAACTTGGCAGATAAAACTGGGTTTTTTTTAAATATGGGACACCACTTCGACACTGTGACATACTAATCTGCTCCTTACAATGCTATAAATGATGTGAGCTGTGTTGTAGCCCCATTAAGAAGCGGAATGACATCAGCAGTTATACAGTCGGTCACTTAGGAAGACGGTGATAAACATAAATCCACCTTGTACATTTAATATACCAATATGTGTTTACTGTTTTTGTGATAAAGGGGTAAAAAGTTATCACGAACACAGCGTATAAATAGCCGATGTGTATTGACTGTGTAGCAATACACGCTATCAGTCATTACGTCATTCGGCCTGGCTTAGGATTTATTCCTTTCAGTGTTTTTTTGTTTTTACTAATTTATCCAGTTCAAATTTCCATGTTGATATTCTAATATTCTTTGAACATACATCACTGTTATAAAGCTATATAGAACAGATCCGTTTAACTTTATACATAGTTGTTTAGTTTCCATAAGAAATCTGATTATAATATGTAAGTTATGTTCACCTGTGTAAGAACAGCAGGTATGCGAAATCAGGAATGCGTGCTTAATTTTAAAATTACATAAACTGCATCACATATAAAAATAATATTGTATAAGCCGACTGATATGTACCCTTACTTTTTGAGTAATAGTTTACTGTATGCATTGAAGTGTTTAACACAGACAATGAAAAGATAAAAAAAGCAACATAATTATCTAATCATTGGTGTGGCAGGGATGGAAGGAAACTTTCATTCAAGAGATCGAGTTCTGATTGGCCAACCGTTAAACAACGGGAAGTTGTGGTTATCGGCGGAAATGACGGACACGCGAATCTTAATCTTTGAACTTTAAGTATAAAAACTTTGTGTCGGCGGATTTTTGGTTATCATTTTCTCCCCGGTCCGATACTTCAGAAGTTGAACAAGTGAAGAGCACAAAAGTGTAACGCAAACGTAAGTATTTAAACGTACAATCAATACCGTTTATGATCTCGATTAATAATTACCGGAATAATCGATCTAGATGTTTCTTTTTTAATTTATAAGTTTATATATTGATTTTATCTAATCAATGATATGTATCCTAACTAAAGTGAACTTATAGCACCTATTTGCATCCTTAGTGTTAATATTTATTAGCCTCCGGATCTTCATGAGATTTCAACCACAATGCCAGCTATACGTTAGGCTACAGCGAACAATTAAATGAAATGCTTTCTTTCTTTTTCCTTCCCTTTTTCCCCTTTTCTTTCTTTTTTATTTTTCCTTCCATTCTTTCTTTACTTCTACATCATTCTTTTTTCCTTTCTTTTTCCTTTTTTCTCCCTTTCTTTTTTTCTTTCTTTCTTTCTTTCTTTCTTTCTTTCTATGTACTTTGTGATGCATTACAGATTGAACAATTTTATTATTTTTTCCACCTTTCAATAAAATTCTCCTTTCAGAAGCCAATGAATATTTTGATAATCGAGTTGGTTGTTGAGTTGCTTCTGGTAGCATCAGGATTCTCGATACCAATTATAAAGAAGAATACAGAAGACAAGTACAATTTTCCACCAAATTTCTCCGAGACAACCGCAAGCACACGAGATGAGAATACAGACAGAATTTCACAGTTGTCCGTTATGGAAATCCAACCAAACACAGAAGTTGATACAGATCAGAGATTGTCCATTCCATCACCCAAGTCATACACTAATACGGCGTTAAATTCAGATATGGTGTCATCAGAAAATTCTTACACGGATGGAAGGTCTCAATTGTCCTCCCTTAGGTTGGGAGGGTCGGCATCCTTGCATTTCCGATTCTGGAAAAGTGTATCCAAAACGGCAATACCTCTAGTGAAATTTCTTGGAAATTCTCTGGAACGTCTTGTATTAAATCATGTAAGTAGCATTTTAATTCTAACTTTTGAGAATTACAAATAACGAATGAATTTGAAGGAGTATCATAGAATTTTCCTTCAGTTATTTACTTATTTCAACATTTTATACAACTTTAACACTCACGTATTATTTATGTTTTTCAGTGTAAAGATAATAATGACGTGATACCAGACGATTGCTTAGACTTCTCGTTTAATCTTGTTAATAACTGGAATGTACGAGATTTCATCCGGTCACCATCAAACGAAGTCATGATGATCAAGAAGCAGAAAAGGTTTAACAAGGTATTTTGAATAATTTTATCTTTTTCTAACCATTGTGTCAAAATGCATAAAAATTACAACGAAGAAAATACATTTCAGATATTCCATCACGTATTAGTTTCCTAATCAGAAGTATAGTATAAGCAAGAAGCATGAATCGGACATCAGTATATCACTGAATTAAAAATGATTTATTTCTTTGTGAATTTTGTTATAATCAATTATGAGTCCATACTCATGTTTATCATTAATGTATTCTTTAAAGAAATATTTAAGTATAATATATATTTAGTACATATTGATAACTGTGACAAGTCTACAAATATTTCTTGTTTGTTTTTTACGGTTGAGTTGACATGGGAGTTCCTGCTAACTTATGTCTGTCTCTCGCTATATATACACACATACGATGTTCATTTAATGTTATAGAAATTGCTTATTGACGTCATCCAAGTACTTCGTTACCATTGGGGAAACCTGACTGACCTTCTAGCTATTGAAAAACGACATATTTGTGGAAGCGAGGCCGTCTGTGACGTCGACTGCACTTTGGGGTCCTCCCTGTATTGTTCCTTGAATGGCGTCATTGTTCCCCAGTTGGACGAGCTCATCCTTGGACTGGAAAAGGAGGTGGGTCTATAACAGGATGAACACAAATGAATTAACACCAGTCGAAATACAGAGTATATATTTAACTGTACTAGATTGGTCTGGACATCTAGCGGTATTATGATATACTAGGTAAACTCTCGACAACGATTAGCGTATCTATACTGTATACAGTGGAATTCTATCAAATGTTGTATGTCTTCTATCAAAGCAATCATTTAATTTGGGGTTTCGATTGTGTGTTCATTCTTGTTTTTATTTATTAATTTTTTTAAACAAAGATATTCAAGAAAATAAACTGTTATTTAAAATGTTAAATATAAGCTTACTTAAAGTAATAGAATTATTATCTTGAGGAGTAACTGCATGTATGTATAGACACTCCATGTTGGTGGTAAAGAGATGCTTTACAGTAGGGCCGTGACTTTTACATTGCTGTATATGATGAAATCAGTATAGAAATAACATATTTTTGATTATAAAAGAAATACAGAGATCACAGAGTTTGACCGATACTTTCACTCTGGTGAATGTTTTAAATAAATTTTCATCAGTGATAAGACAAATAAGGGTAATTAAATCAAACAGCGATATTAATTATTTTAATTACATGTTTCCTTTGGTTTATTTACAGGCAAAAATGTACTACGGTGCAAAGATTAGTCAGCAGACACCAGAAAGGATGAACCCCGAAAAGGTCCGATTTTATTCGAAATACCGAGTATTCTATGTACTCGGAACTATGTATAACATAATGCTACAAATGTTCGAAACGGAAGCAGCTCTCAGCTATATACTTGACTTTACAAAAGTTATGCGACTCCAGGTTCGATAAGGAAGCCAACGGTATAACTTGACCTATCTGCACATAGGGAGCGAGGATGTTCTACAGACATTGATAAATACTCCAATTTTCTTGTTCCTAATAGATTTAAGTATTTTCTACACTGGTTATTAGCTTCTGCAGTACAACTGAGAACAATATATATACATTAACAGTATGATAGCCGGATCTGTCAATACTGTAGGATTGGGATAAATATATAATGTTACACGGATATGTACACATATATCTACACGTAAATGTTTACATGTTTCTCTCCAGGCTTGGCACACGTAATCCAACCGTCAACAACTTCCTGTTAGGTATCCGTTCTTTAAGTCTATAGTGTATAATGTATTTAGAAGTCGCAATGCTATGGCGATTTCTGCTGGTGCTGATATTTCACTTTTTACTTATTTTTCTATTATTTATATTATTTACTAGATGATATAATTATAATTGTTTAAATTGATGTTAATACCCACAAGTCCCTTTAAATTATCAGTCCCATTACTTTACCGAGATCAACATATCTAAGTCAATTAATTCTACTTAAATATAAAGAGACTTTTTTTTATTAATTTTATTTACATTTTGAATATTTATTTCATCACCCGTCATACACTATATTTTGTACAGTGTCAATTTTTTCAATGTTAGATTTTAATGATGCTTTTGCACATGAAATCGATTTAATCCTATTTATATTTATTGCATCGTCTTTATTTTTAATGCTCAGGTTGTGTTTTAATCACCACAATGGACATTTTGTCTTGCATTTGAGAAATTACTCATTACCTACATATTACATACAATGTTGCATTTTCAAGTAACTGACCATATGCTGTGACCCACATACGTTAATATCTAGTTCACCTATTCAAGCCAAAGACAAACGATGGATAAGAAAAAAAAATAAATAAATAAATCTCCATTGTTGTAAATATGTGTATGTTAGTGTAAATTCTTTCCCATTTATTGGCAACCATTTTCACTTTAACGCATTTTACCTTGCAATGACGGGACGACTTAACATCAAAGTTGTAATATATATTACGTGAAGATTTAACGCGCCAGATAGTTATAACTTACATGTAGGATCGTACAGTAGTTTCCATTTTATGTCAGATTTATGATACAAAAATCATTTTTCAATTTAGCGATTCTCTGGTGAGAATCTTCAAAAGGAGCGTATCAGCTTGTGATTGGTCAGGTTTTTTTCCTGGTACTAATTAAATTATTTCGCTTGTACCTTCAATGATCGAGGATGGTAAATCTTATTCTATCTTATGAACGTACAATTGAGAGTAGAAACAGCAGAAAAACGATGAATGTAAATATGGAATGTGACAATCAATGCTACATATACCTATGCGATTAAAGAATTCGATGATTTTATTATCTTTCGAATCTCCGCGATATGTAAAAATAAATAAGTTCTCCGCGAAATGTAAAAATATATCAGTTCCGCCAATATGATGTTTTATTACATTTCAAGATTCGTTTGTTTTTTGTATCAATTTTTTATGGAATTCATAATTGACAGATAAAAAAATTCTGTCACATCTGTCTTAAAATGTTTATCATAAACCACATACTTGCCATACCATGTACATACGTTTTCCGTTGATATCTTTTTGATTTTTTTATATATGAATAAAATGCTTATAAACATAATGATGTATTTGTTGTAAGTACGTTTCAGTTTTGTTGGAGTTTTCTATGAGTCATATAAAAACGGCGTCTAGTAATGATAGAACCACCCAAAGGCTCTTTCATAGCGCGATTACACTGAGATGTCAATTATCAGTGCACAGTTGTATGATATAACACTAAGCACAAGTTAACTGACAATAAGAATAATGACTTTTTATCTCTAACATATTTAAAGCTGGGGTAAATTTAACGTTATACCCTTGGACTGGCACCCATCACTGAAGTCAAAAGTAAAACAGAAGTCTTTATAAGACAACCAGTAGGAGATTAAAGTGTGACATGTCGATGGCTACGCGGTCACCTTCATCAGACAAATGATCAGTGTTGGGCGTACTAGCACTAACGTACATAGTGCATGGGATGGTAAGGAATCGACTTACTATAATCCTACGTACAATAAGTCCGTCACACTATTTTCGACCTTAGTGTACATAGGATTATAGTGCATTTGGTCGATTCATTAACATCTCGTACACTACGTACGTCAGTGCTAGTATGTTCCACTCCGGTCGTTTTTTTATGAATAGACATCGAAACGTCACACTCTAATCTTCTACTGATTGTGTTGCAAGAATTTTTATTCTACTGACATTACCAACCTGAAGAAAATGTTCTAGAAATTATAAAAATAAAGTACTATTAGTCAAAAGGAGAGAAACCAATCAGATCAAATGAAATAGATATCAACAGATTTGGCGTTGTGACTATATGAACCACTGCAAATAGAACGAAGAAATGTTTAATTGTGCAAATGTGCGATTACCACACTGAATAGCATTCAACAATATTTGGACATTTACTACACTTAAGTGTCGAACATTTCTGCACCTTCGCGGTAACGATTGAAAACACTTAGAAAATGAGTGAAATGTAGTACTTCTATGATGGAGGTATTTCAGTCTAGGATCATTTGGACACTTGCGTACTTTTGTTTTATCTACATGATATCAAACTTTAACATGAAAAGATTGATTAATTGTGAAATTTTATATCTATTAGCAACTCGATCTCTGCAAATATGATTTCCACTTTTCTTCTGAAGGAGTATTATACTATGAGATTCTGCGCCAGAACTACACTTATACATCATTATTTATACTTGGCGATGGTGAGGAGAAGGAAGGAGACAGAAGGAAGCCTTTCTTGTTTCAGTTTGAAACAAGGCGCATATAGCTGTTCTAGATTTTAAAACAAGATGTATTTATAAGACAATATGTCCACGGCTGCAACAAAATTCTGAAGTGGGATATTGAAATTTTATTCTGGAAGGCATGTGATAATTGCATGCACACTTTGTGAAACACTTATGTCTTCATTGTGGTAATAATTTTCTTTTACCTCATTACAAATGTCATGTTTGTACCACCAGAAAGTTCTTGTTAAAACTAACGCACGTGCCAAATATCAAAGTTCTACCCCTTAAGGTGCAATAATTAGACACGGTTAAAGGGTAATGTCACTTCAGTTACAATCCTATATTTGTCACCACAGGTTTTTGTCACATTTGCAGGTAAATCACTGTAGGAATCAGTGAAAGGAAGCCAAGAGTAACGTTATGGCTGTTTTGTAGATGGGAAATGGGTCATTTTAGTCTGTCACTATGATCGCGTTAATATTCAGACACAAACCACGAATATGTTGGTCTAAATAATTAAAAGTGACAAATCAGGTAAGAATATTTGTGGCAACGAAAAAAAAACATCATTGAAATATGTATAACGACTTGGATCAGTGGTGCTGTTCTTCTATATATAAGATGGTACAGTGTGACAAAGAGGTCCAAATGATAAAACAATAATCAAGGATATAATCGAAAAGTCTTCATATCTAGGCTTGTCAGAACGATAAAAACACAATACCTATTTACTTTAGAAACACACAGTCTTAGTGTTATTTTAGGTATTCGTCGACAGCGAAACCATCTGTTTTAAAGAAGATGATTAAAGCTAGTACAACGCCTTGACGTTAGTGGATGAATTATGACAAGTGGTATGGGGTTAGTGTCACTACAGCTCTGACCTTACAGACACGGTGTTTGTGGTTATATGATGTTCTCATCTCCCACTTATACCAACAAAGTAATAACAATTACATTTTTTCCGCGTAAATGTTAAACCTTGAACAAGAAACAAGCTGTTACAGGGAAGCGCTATTAATATCCACACAGACGTGTGGAATAACACACATTTTCAGTAAAGGTTAACTGTGTTGTTTCAAGTTCTCCTTCATTTCACGGGAGCACTCCTGGTTTTACGAATAAAAGATATAACTGGTTTTTAACATGGGGATCACAGTCTTAATATTGTGAAAGCTGTTATTGTGGAAAACAGATACACTGAAAACAAAACTTCATAAAATTGTGAGCTGTTTCGTAAAATATTTCCTTATGTCCAAACTTAGCGATATGTGGAACATTTTAACTAATTAAGCTAATCCACTTAATAGTTCTCTAAATGAGTCCTGTTGCTTCATAATTTTTTGTTGACATATAATGTCACAGTTGAATAACGTTATACATCCTTACACAAATGATATAAAAACATGTAGAAAATTTCAACATTTGAAGATAATATGAACCAAAGAGAGATTTACACGGAGACTCCTGAAAAAAGTACAGGGAGAGTCAGACCAGGTGACACTTGCTATGTAACCCTTGGTCAATCCAAGTAAGTAATGTCACATTCTTAAATGAGAACAAGGTATACAACAACGGAGCCAACAGGCAAACTAACGAATATTAAACACGCCCACAAGCTAACAAACCATACCGTAAGATTAATCAGTCATTTCAATTAAGGTAATTAAAGTATGTACGTTTTTAAAGATTTTACCGTCAGGATGAGATATTCCTGTCACGAAATGTATGGTTCTTTATGTGTCTTGTGAAAAAGCCGCTTGCCCTTGAAACAAAAGGTTATCGTTATAAAACGCACTTTAAAACATACTTTAATGACATTGCCATTCTGTTAGGACAAAACAGAAAGCACCACGCCAAGTGTCACGGGTTTTCAGAATAGACATCTTTCCTGAACATCTGACTTCTGAGTTCTGAGTTTGAATATATATATATGAGCTATTCTGCGTTACAATAATGTGATTGCAAAAGATTCGTAAAATAATGAGACATGTGTATTAGATTTCATTTTACAGTACTTTAATTCGACACATATTATTTGATCGTTTGGAAAGAAAATCGCAAAAGCTTTGACGTGAATTTTGCCAGCTACCCGGTACTATAGTCATGCTAACATAAATAACAACAAAGCAACTATCGATTATATTTTATTGATATTCCGTATCATTTTATAAACTACATAATGGTTTATTAAATGATAATCAGTTTGGTGAAACAGTAGCATCACCGAACACATTATTGAATAACGAATTACAGCACTACAAGTGACTAGACATACTTGTCAGAGTCCAGGATAGATACACATCAGCAACACGTTATAATATCTCAAAATTTTCTCATCAAAGGTATTGAATTCTGTAACAGTTGCTCCAGTAACACAGAAAGGAAGGTGTAAGATAACAATACATCAGGTTGTTCTACATTGTCATAACCGCTCGGAGAAATAGATCTGATCGTTCGTAGTCATTCTTCACATCTTTTCTAATTCCAAGAGTTTGCTTTACAACTGAACGTGTGCCAATATGAATACATTATTTTGTCTAGATATGGAAATCAATTCAGTGTTTCAGTTGTTTTGGTGAAAAGCATGTAATCATTTCTTAACGTTTTGGACCTTTGTGTTTTTATTTTTTCTAAATGATATGTTTCTGACAATTATAATCATACTTTTGAATAGTATCAAGGTCAATTACATGGGGAGATACCACAAACTTGGACAGATTTTCTCTATACACATTTGTAATATACGTAGTCAGGTATATTTTATAAGTTATGCTGTATACTTAAAATGTATTTATGTACTTTTATCATTTGTTTATTATGATACACCGATCTGGGGCATTTTAAATGCTCACTCGCACTGTAACGATCACTCCACAAGGATAGGAACATTTGTATATGAAGAAGGTGAGGTATTGAAATAACCTATATTGTCTATATCATTCCATCTGCCATCGCGCCATAACCTCCTGCGAACAACTCTCCCATTGGATTGTCAGCCGCCATGGCGAAGCCTTGAGCACCAGTATTGGATAGAGACAGACCCATCGATCCTCCAGGACTCCTGTAAATAACACCAGTATTATGTGATGTCTATGTTCTTTTAAATAAACTTTATATAAGGAGATTATAAAACAATAGAAAGGTTACAAAATCGTTTTACTTTTAGAATTTTATTAAATATGTTACTATATACCTCACTCTTTCTTTTAGAACAAATGTCATTTACAGCAAGATTAACCAGGCTATACCAATACAACAAGGCAAATACCGATTTCATCGAATGCTCATGAAAAAATATGTTTAATTAGGTGTGCTGAACGCATAAGCGTCTTCTGCATCAACGCCAACCCACGCAATGTTAATCTTGTTCATTATAAATGTGTGATGTCATGTTCTATAAAACTCCCCAATAATGACCACTGGCCTCTTGCAGGCAAATCGTGATATTTGGGTAGCTGAACTTGAATACCAAATGACATGTAACCGCCATAGGAAAGCAGGAATATTGTAGAAAGAGTGAAATTGTTATGCTTATTATGCAGCTTGGTGGAAAGCTGTCCCTGTTGGTTTCGTTATATATTAAAAACTGTTGGTGTACTCACTGGGCCATCATTCCTCCGAGACCGCCCATGTCAACATCAGTCATCATAGACTGTCGCATTTGTTTCATCATCTTCCTCTCCCTGGCAGCATTGACGGTTTGTGATATAAAGTCAGGTATCCACTGCAGCATTGGGTTACTAGTCATGTTGGCTACGGCACTTTTCGGAATGAACTTACTGAAGAAGTTCGTTGGGGGGCCCACAGTATTTTGTACTAAAACGACAAAACTTGTACTTTCAGTAAAAAAAATAAACGTTAGAGTCACGTATTCCTTCACATCCCTTTAAACAAAGCATACAAGGAAACCTTGGCAAAAATAATGTAAAATACGAAGCATGGGTAGATAAAATAAAATAAAAAACTAAACCAAATGCAAAACAGCATCAAAGTTTTGGTGTCAAAGAAAGGATTTCTCTCTCCTTTGTTTTACATGTTACCTCAAACTTGATTACTATTTATCCGTGTGCTTCGGTAAATTATCTGTGCAACAGGTTAGCCAAAACCGATATCTCACTTAATAGACATAAGTTTTGGTTTTATTTAATGGCTACATATGCCACCTCCTTCCAAGCAGTTCTAATAAATATAACAGATTTAGATATGTCTTTAAAAAAAAACCACTAGCAGCCATCAGAATATATAACATTATATGATAAACATTAAAGATGACTCTTATTCTTATGTTATAAAGTAAATACAAGTTTTTCTTTCTTTCAAAACATCATATTATGTTTATTCTTAAAAGAAAACCGTCCAATGTTGACAATAAACATCAAAACATACAAAAACAGACTTACCTGCAAAACCTTCCATTGGAAATGACGATACGACTGCAACAGTGCATACAGCACAGAACAAGAAGACAGACATCTTTCCAGATAGTTCCAAACCGCAACTTGAAGGCTATTTCTGAAAGGATAATATTCTTCCTTGTTTTACAGTAGTAGCCGTTATTGTCCAGATAAGGATCCTGGCAACTGAAAGTTTTCAGTTTTCAATTTCTTAAAGGAAGACTTTGTGCAGACATTTGATTTGTAATGTTTTTCAAATCTGTCTGTTTAATTCTTGATATTTCTGCATATATATTCGAGTTATTATTCCCCATGCATTTGACTTCAAGGATTAGTTAATTTTGTTACGTTGTTGAAATAGCAATTCTTTTCAATGTGTCTGTGCGTTCTTGTTCTATATGATATCAGATGAAGAAACCAAATCCACTCTAGCATGAAGAGGATTCCATTGTCAGTTGTTTGAAATATACATATAAACACCCATTTTCGTTATAAATCCAAAAGTATCACACATTTCACGATTTACTACACTGATTTAGACGTTCAAGTGCAGCTTGTTATATATGTAGCATTGTCATCACCCACGCAAATCACTAAAGCATCGTTTGACAGCTATCCCTAATCAAACTGTCGCTGTGGCTCATATTGGTTAGAGGTCATCTATAAAAACGTCATTTGAACGTGTGTACGAGACATAAAATGACTATGCGGTTTATCGTAAAATGCTTGACCGTAACCATGTTTGGTAGATAATTATTTCAAAAGTTTACTTGCCTTCTGTTTCATCAATGTATATTCTCAATCCTCAATTATGAACATTTTTATTGTTAATTAAATTGTTGTATATATTGCTTATTCATAAATTATATAAATATCAAAGGGGTTTTCTTTTCATACGAGAATTTATTAAACGAGTCCTAGAAGTGACACACTAGTGACATAAACACAAAAACATTACATAGGGGAACTCATTAGATCACAAGCTGATTATGTGATATGTATATTGATTGAAAGTCGTTTTTTAACTTTCATAGAGCTATAAAAAAAACCAGCGGTCACATCCATACGACAGGAAGCTTGTTAGAGCCATGGAAGTTAAAAAAACTGACTTTCAATTCAAATGATTATGCTTCTTACGAATTATTTTTCTGCCTTTCCGTTTTAATTGTTAAATATTACGGTGCACCGAAACAATTCTCTCCAAGGGAAAAACGGTACAGAAAGAACAACTTTCACTCGGTGATTGTCAAAACAACAGAAATAAGAAATATATTCTGCGTGAGAAAATTTTGAATTGTTTCTATAAAATATTCTGTATATTCCTATTAGGAACAATGAAAGATAAACATATACACAATTAAAACGTTAAATTAAACCCCGATTACCAATATCGTTCCTACTGCCTAGTGTCACAGTTGACACTGTGCAGTGATGCCACTCCGCCAGCCGACTGGAGGCGGTTGAATCTGTGTGTGTGTGTTTATCAACCATGATCCGAAGTGAAAGCTTCATCTAAGAACATATCATTTAACAGTATATCATCATCTGAAGTTTTTCATCCTCACCCAATATTTCAACATTTTACATAGTTGAGGGATTCCGGAGGTGCTGTATTTCTACTCGGATTCCTTCATGATCGGTGTTCAAGATGACAATAGAAGTGATGATATGTTGTTCTTCTTATGCAATATACACACAATACTGTTTCTTTATTTTTATGTTCGTTTTATTTGTTGCATTTTTAAAAATATTTTTGTCTTGCATAATTTAATTCTTAAATCATTTTTAGGTGATGTGAAGTGGCAGTTGAAGGGGTCTTCTCAAAAAGGTAGCCCGAGTCACTACTCACACAAAAAATCTATACCAAACGGCACATAAAATGTTTAGCTGTAAAAACCCTTTGAAAGTAGTATTTTGTATGTTTCATATAGTTGGTGGCAGCGCAAATGTAAATATATATATATATATACACTCTCTTTTATAGCTATTTTGTTACTGTTGTTTTTTCCGATAAAGCATTAATTACATGATGTTTTCATTGGAAGGGTACATCCTATTATGACTTAATGAAGGGCTACCTATCATAAAGCATAGCACAAAAAAGAATAGTAACGTTAATAGACATTTGTTGCACGCAAACAAAGCAGCAATGTACATCTCAATGTGATACATGTCTATGAATAAAGAAGCAAATTGTATATATTAGGTTACATATTATTTTCAAAATAAATTTCATAGGAAGATACGATTTTAAAAAGAAGTGTTTATTACAATAACATTTAACGTTAATAAAATTAGCTTTGTAACGAATAACGAATACAGCTGTGGTAAACAAACAGACATATATAACACTCATGCTTACCTTTATTTCCTGCGCTTTAGAATCACAACTGCGAATGTTCATATGGTTCCTACATGTATTTATATATAGAAGACGAGCGTACGTGCGTATGTAGATGTTGGAGACATGTGCCATTTTTCATTAGTAAAGTGCCTTACTTTACCTGACATTGTGGATGCATGACCAGGAATCCATCAAACACCGTTTTGACCAAATTAAATTTGAAAGTAAAAGTGTAACGTTTTTGAAAATTACTGTTGGACCAAAATATGGCGGATCTCATATGTTTTTGCAATTATCTTATTATCACGAGCTATGTGTTTACACACCAGTTACTTCCCTTTTATACATCGAAACAAACCTAAAGATTACTGTGGACTGTCATCGGAAATTATTTGACTCTTCGTAAATCAATTTTTGGTTGTTAGAAAAACAATAGATAACAAACATAGTCATCTAACTTGAATATGTGTGTGTGTGTGTTAAATATCAAAAGGGATTATTTTCAAATTTGAAAAACACGAACTTTTCATAAGAACAGTTTTAAATCATTCCAAAACTGTCGTCAGTGAAGCAAAATGATTCTTTTTTATTTCAAATTATACAATGATTTTATTTGCATAATGTCATTTTCTGTATCAACTGCAATAGAAAATTAGAAAAATATGAAAGACCTATATTGTCAGTGTTAGTTTTTCCAACCAATTTGCACGCGCCTTATCTGTCGAGAAGAGTATCTTGCAAATGCCTCATTGAATCACACCAATGCAATGGTCTTGGCTATCGTTTTACTGTTATTAATGACACTATCACGATTTTCCTGCAAGGGTTTCAAAACATGCAGTTAAAAGTATGAGGACGTTTTACGGTCTTCATAGTGATTGCATTGAGAAATATCTGATTTTGTTTCCATAAGAGGTCCACTTTACCACAAAGCTCATCAAAACAAAACTCATAGACCTTACAAAGTCCATCTTGCCTTGTCTTTAAATAACAAACCATTTACCATATCCATAGGTAATACCCACCAGAATTGGAAATAAATTACATGAATGTTCGATCATAATTCAGTGTTATTTTCTTTGTTATTTATGTCGTACACGGACAGAATTTTAAAATGATTATCTGAGCACGTTTTTTTTTGTTTGTTTTGCAAAATCCAGAAATTAAGTGTAACGACTTTCTCAAATCATTTTTGTTAGTTCAAGTGAATGTATGACTCTTTTTTGTCACAAATCTACCTTTGTGATAAAACGAAGAATGACAGTCAACGACCCAATGGATATGCCCTAGTTGTGACTTTACAAGTATAATAAATAATAAAGTGTGAATGAAACGAAGCTAGAATGGTATGATATGAAACAAACTATCGTTGTCCATATACATCTATACGGATTTCACGTATTGATGGGTTATTGGTGTGTTCTTTTTAGGATTCATGCTGTTTGACTAGATAAGGAAGTTCACAAAAAAACAAACAAAAAAACAAAAAACAAAAAACAAAAAAACAAAAACAAAAAACACACAAGCATAAAACAGTTTATGTAAAATACACCATTGCTCAGTATTGAATCTCCTGTGATGTTATTTGCCCTTTTCTGCTTTATACTGATAACCGCTAGTAGCTTCCATGGGAATAATTTCTCTCATTTTTTGTAATTTTTCTAACAGTTTTGGCTATAAAGATTACGCAACGAGTAGTTCTTTTACGTGACTTTTCTCTCATTACAGTTACTTGTCTTTTCAAAGTTACAAAAGCACTCGCTGACAAGGTCGTGTGTTTTGTTACTTTAAAAAAACCGAGAGTGAAAGAAATACCGTATATAACGAGTTTCAGTGACTTGTTTCTACCGCAGTATGATTACGATATCAACTGGGGCGTTAATAAATTTCCTGTAATGACATACTGTAAATTATTATACAACACTAATGATTTTAGAAATAAGAAAATAAGTAATATGCGCGACTGAGTGAAGCAATCTTGCTGTCAAAGTTCAACTTCTCCAGCAAGCAATAGACCGAAAAGTCATACACCATTTTTTGGTATGTATTATATATTTATCCAACCACTCAGAATAGTTACGGTGATTTTAGAGTGACATTACGTATTGTTGTAGAAAGAGAGAAAGAGAGCAGAACATTCAGTTGATGAGAGTAACAGTATAGTTATTAATCACGTAATACCAACACCAAATAGAGAGAAGGGAAGCATTGACGGTCGTAATGTATTGAAAACATGACTAGAGTGGTATGTGAATGACTTATGGTATAGCCTATTTGTTCTATTGTGTTTGAAAAGTAAAATATGAAAGATATCTGCAATAATTCCTTTTATAAACGTCATCAAAAATGTTATTTACTATTTTTCAAAAGAAAAATTAGAAAAGCTATTCCTGTTCAGGGATATTAACACTAATGTCAATTATCTATATTTGATATTTCTTTGATGCAGCAATGTATTATTGTAATTTTTATTTGTTTTACAAATACTGTAACTGATGGAACAGCTGTATAGCACTGTAATATGTGATTATGACACTTTGATGGTGCGAAAGTTTTCATTTTCTGAGTATTGTGTTTTTCTATTCTGTTGATTATTTGTTTTGGAAAGGAATAAATATTTAGCATGGATTATTTCTACAATTGTGTTTTAGCTGATGCATTTTGTTGTGCATACAAACAAGATGCACTTTTCTTGTTTCATGAATACAGTGAAAATGGAACAGGACGCTCTACCA